AACAAATTAAGCTAAATGTACTGCTATGACGTTTACAAGAGCCACGGACTATGAATTGTACAGCTATGCCATTGAATAAAAAATATCGTACGCATCGTTGGTTAGAGCTAACTTAGAGTACCTATACGCGGCAATCATCTGGACACCGTATTATGATATTCATATACAGGGTGTCCCTAAAAGGTCTGTACAACGCGCTACCAGGGGTTCTTGGTATCAAAATAGGACGATTTAACCCTACTTACCTCTATCCCAAAGTGCTTCGTTAAGGCGCTATTTGCCGCCAAAGATTCAAAAAACAAATCGTTATTTTTACTTTATCGGAAAATGGTTTTGCCGATTAAAATGAAAGTCGGGATGTGAATGTCTAATGTAAAAAGGGTCTTTGTGATATCATCGTTTTGATTGTAGTTGCTATGTAAGTGGTAAAATACTGACCATCCACATCTGAAGAGGTCTAAAACTTGTTAACTACTTTTTTGTGGCATGCACCATACATGCGATTGTTCCTCAAAAACGATAAGTGCAAGCAAGAAGTAGGCTATGAAACCGTAGTGCAAGCAAGTAATGTAGAATAAACGAACACAACAGAGTAAGTCAATGTAATGTATTAATTTAAACGTACTAAATGTTCAAAGTGACCACCATTTTCACGCATACAAAGCATTATACGGCGTAATAAATTAAACTGTGCCCTTTGCAACATTGGTACGTTATTTTTTAAAGTTTTAAGTCTTCAAGCAAAACGTAATTTGTTAAAGTTTAAGAAACAACAAACAAACGTTAAGCCACTCTAAGGTTTAACAGCCATCTTCTGATTTTTTGAGGAACAATCGCATGTATGGTGCATGCCATTCATCATGCCTAAATTTATTTTTTTTTCGTAAACCATAACAGATAGCGATATTCATCAAGAGACAAAAAATGCTTGCAAGTAAACTGTCTATCAGTGTCTAAAAATTCAGAACCGTCAAAATAGTAGTTAAAAAGTTTTAGACCTCTTCAGATGTGGATGGTCAGTAGTTTACCACCTACATAGCAACTACAATCAAAACGATGATATCACAAAGACCCTTTTTACATTAGACATTCACATCCCGACTTTTTAATCGGCAAAACCATTTTCCGATAAAATAAAAATAACGATTTGTTTTTTGAATCTTTGGCGGCAAATAGCGCCTTAACGAAGCACTTTTGGATAGAGGTAAGTAGGGTTAAATCGTCCTATTTTGATACCAAGAACCCCTGGTAGCGCGTTGTACAGACCTTTTAGGGACACCCTGTATAGTAACAATATTGAAAAAGTGCAGAACAGATTTTTGAGATTTTTGTATTTTAAGACTGAGGGTCAATATCCAGTACTAGTATCTACTACAAGATTGCTAGATTTATTTCAGAAGCAGAGTCTAGATAAGAGACGAAAAATCATTCAATTAACTTTCCTTTTCAAGTTAATTCATGGTTCCGTTAACGACATCAATTTGCTGAGTCAAGTTAATTTTTAGTACCAACTTATTTCAATCGTAGTAAATTTCTATTTCATATTCTTCCTTCGCGCACAAATATGTTTCATTCGCCATTGATTGCCATGTTACGCCTATATAACAATGTTTTGTTGCATATCGACATATTTCTTGCTTCTCAATCTTCTTTTCTCAGTCTGTATTGATACTATGTAGATATTACCATAATATAGGTAACACATTGTATTATACCAAAGAATTATGGTTACTCCAAAGAGTAAAGTATTCTTTGGCAGTGTTGCCAACCGTAGCGGAATTCCTCTACCGTATCGGTTTGGTGATGCTTTTAGCGGCGTAGCGGCGGCATGAGATTAATTCTTTCAAAGTAGCGGAAATTTACTTATCGTAAGAATAGGAAATGTGTAATTACTCTAGACAAGTTATTTGCAATATCGTAGAACGTAATGTGTACAAGAAATAAATTAGGGAATTGCTTATTTAAGACGTGAGATTTTCTGTTTTAAAAATTAGTCATCGTCTTTATCAATTATAAACTGCCATTCTGAATATTGTCTTATTTTTAGAGTCTTAAAGACTTGCACATTAACAAAGGGGACCATTTACTTATTCGATGATTCAGATGGTCGCCTTTAAAAATGAATCATCTTTGTTGGTGCAATATAAACTGTTTTATGTCATATCAGCTCCCTCGTCTTAACACTCTTAACGTCTTTGACGTCTTTACAACTTGCAAGTTGTAAAACGTGCAAATTTGCACAAAACGATAAACAAAGCGTCTCTATTATTATAAAAATCTCCCACCTTGAGTTATTTTATTTTTTAGTTTAGATAAATAGACAAAAATTTTCATTTTTCGTTATTTTATTTCACTTTGTGTTGGCATTTGGTCAAGTTCGTTGTAATTTAAATAAAAAACATTGTTTATGTGGAGTTTGTTTTTGTCTGATTGGATCACCCTTACTAAAAAAATTTACAATACAATCTCACGTAGCGCCGTAGCGGCTTTTCTTTATAAAGAGCGGTATTTTACTAAGGTGGTGGTGGTAAAGCATCACAAATAGTTGGCAACACTGTTCTTTGGTTACTCTTTGATTATACCATTGAATTTATAACTATTTATACTATGATATTACGAATTCATTGCCCATTATTACCTATAGTTTTTTTTTTATAGTTTTTCTTTTATAATTTTTTTTAAGTTTATAATTATAAATTGTATCATCTATAAAGTAAGTATAGAATTGTAATTAATCAATTTTTAAGATCCATCATCCGCATTACGATTTCCATTACAATTGTATCGCTGTTATCATTTAGGTTTAGTTCTCTTTAGTTCTGTTTATCTGTTTTGTGAATTGTACGTAATTGGGAACTTCCTGTAATGAAGCATGGAAATAAATAATAATAATAATAATAATAATAATAACCATCCCCAACACTAACTTAACTAAAACACATGCAGAAAAACACCGCAAATACACCGATATAGCTATCGAGCTTAAGACGCAATGGAGAATGAAATCTACTGTTATAGTTCCCATTATTCTTAGTGCTACTGGAATTATACCAAAGACAATACACCACAATTTACAACTATTAGGTTTAGACAAAAACACATACAAACATTTACAAAAAGCAGTCATTATCAACACATGCCATATTGTTCGTAAATTTCTAAACATCACACAAGATACTACATACAGAAATGATCCACAACGTATACATGTAAACAACAGCACTCCCTCACAACACGGTACACAACATACTGTAATATCTCCACCTCTAACCCAAACAAACACACAAATACAACTTACCGAACAAACAAGTACAACAAATGATACAGCATATATACTACAATCAGAGATTCACCTCTGAAGCAAACCACATTATCAACACCCATTAGTATTCAACCCAAACGCAAAAGCCTAAACAGCACTTTAGACTCACAACATGACACACAACATACTGTAATATCTCCACCCTTAACTCAACCAACCACACAAACACAACTTCCTGAACAAACAAACGCAATAAATACAAGTAACGCAACACGCACTACAAAGACGCCCTCACCCACACGACCTAGCACATATGAAAAACACAATACTCTTTCTTCTCAGAAACACACCACGTTATCACAAACACAACCCACTCGTACTCAACCCAAACGCAACAACCTTAACACAGGCTCACAAAATACTGTAATGTCTCCACCAATAACCCATGCAACAACAGAAATACAACTTCAAGAACAAAGAAACACCATAAATACAACTAACGCAACATGCACTACAAAGACAGGTCCACCCAATAAAATTACACGCCCTAGCACAGTTAAAAAACACAATACTCCTTCTTCTCAGAAACAACCCACTCGTATACAACCGAAACGCAAAAACCTTAACACAGGCTCACAAAATACTGCAATATCTCCACCAAAAACCCAAGCAACCTCACAAATACGACCTCAGGAACAAAGAAACACCATAAATACAATTAAAAAACACAAAACTCCTTCTTCACAGAAGCACACCACGTTATTACAACCCACTCGTATTCAACCCAAACGCAAAGCCAAAGAAACACTTACACAATAAACTCCATTTAATAAAATTACAGGAATTATTATAATGATTTTTTTTGTTTTGTTTTGTTTTCCTCTTTCCTGATAGCGTTGGCTATTGTGCCCATCAATAGCTATGTTGGTAAGTATGAATTACAATTACACACTATCTCTAGATTTCCAATGTGAGTGTGAATTTTTAATTAATTAATTTATTTATTTTATTTTTTTGTTAGGACCCTACATAACTCCACCAGACACAGACACAGACACTAATCGTTACTTGATTTTAATCCGTGCGATTAGTTAACCAGGCTAGACCTGAGTTCTCACAAGAAACACCGATAATAATAATAAAAGGATAACGGTATTAAACATTCCATTCTGCATTGCGGTTTAATCAATTAAATTTCGAAAACAAAGATTGAAACACACAAAAAATATAAAATGTAGGATATAAAACACATACGATATAAAGATGAAATGCAAAAATTAAATTACTACCTGCATTAAAAAACACAAAATTGCGTGGTTGCCAATTGTGCAAAATGTACCTTTACTTTATTATTTTATATGGTGTTTTGACTTCGGGTTTAGGTTTATCATTTGTTAGGGGAAGATTGAAAGGTGATAATCCAATTTAGGGCATATTGTACTTTTTGATATGTGTGTAAAGTGGAACTTTCTCACATGTGTTCATTTGAGATTAATATACCTAGCAAATAATAAACGTTCTAGAGAAATCTAGAACGCATATCATATTTCACAATAAGAATGAGTCAGATCCGTTCTTATTCCTTATCGCAGGTGACTAATCCTTTATCAACTTGAGATCATCCTAGAAAATTCGCTACAATATACACCACTCTGTTTATAAAGTTGAAAGATCCATAACAATCAATTTTTGTGGTGAACCAAATCATGAAACAGGAAAAGGATGAAAATAACTCGATTCTTTTTAACAAAGTCGTCTATTCTATTTGGCAAATATCTACAAAATGATTCCATAAATAAAGAAGACACTAGTAACAGCACTATTCTACAAACAACTCAAATTAAAATAAATGTATCAGTTCCGTCTTTCCTGTAGACTATTGCGCTTTCTAGAGCAGAGCAAAAGAGAACGGTCATATAACTTGTAAAAATAACTAACCATTTGTTAGATATTAAGTATGTCAATATATATATTTCTTTATAAAATAAATTCTAAGAGAATTTTAACAATCTACAATATATGAGATTTTTTTTGTAAATAAAAGCTCCATTATCAACAATATAAATTCAGTCACAAAGAAAACTATCAACTAAAAAACACTGTTAGGTTAGTTCATACTATACATCAATGGAATGAATGGTAATACAACTGAAATCAAAGTCCCTTACTGTGGATTACAAAAAAACTAAATAAATACCGTCGTGATATAAATAAAATATTTATTTATTCAAAATGCATCATCCTAATATATTATTTTATTCAGCGATTAAACATGAATTAATATCCAACAGGCTGTTAAGAATCTATGTCTACTTGATCGACCATTTCAAAATCTTTCCCGGTACTGGAACGTTGACTCGTTTCACTTTCACTTTCGGATCCGTCGTGAACATCCTCCACACGATTCTGGCCATTAGTTCCATCACCCGACCTTAAAACGCACACATAAAAATTAAACATGAAAACGACGAGAGAGCTACCTGTCATCTTCCAAGAGCTTCTTTTTACTGCTCGAATCGTCATCGGATTTTTTGTCCGGTTCGTCTTCTGCATCGGAATCCTTCTCTTTCTTTTTGGGTTTCGGACCTTTGTACTCGTACTGAAACGACTTACTATATGATTTGTTTAATGTAATAAACAATAGTAATACATACTGTATATAGCGGCCAGAAGGAAGCGAAAAAGCTGACATCTTCCGTCAAATTCGGCAATATCCACAGGTGGTGCTTACCTAGCGTCAGCAGCCAAATTAAACAAAATATAATGAGCCGTAGTATAGCCAATACGATTATAAACACTAAGAATCCGGCACCTGCCAAACTGAGGTAATACACGCCTAACCTACAAACAAGATCGGATTAAGTTGAGCTGGGTAAGTAAGTTCTTACCTGACTGTTGGCGGCCAAAGTGGGAATAAGCACACGCCAATAGCACCAAGTACAAGTAAAGTTCCAATTATCCAATAATGAAAAGGGATCGGATCGTATATCCAAACATATGCGTCTAACCCATCCACAAAACGTTGGTCGTTGTGCATATCGAGTCTAATTTTCCGTTTACGCTTTTCTTTATCGGTCTGGAAAAATTAAGGAATGAGAAACAGGACGCGGGTCGCGTTACAGTACCCCCTCCTCCTTTTTCGCCTCGGTCACGCTGCTTTCGGCATCGGTCCCCCTTTCTTTCTTTTCCTTTTCGATTTCCTTGGCCTTTTCTTTTTTCTCGTCGCCGGAGTCGATCGCCTTCTTTTCTTTTCGCTTGCCCTTCAGCTCTTGCTCCGACACGGGCACCTTTCGTGCGCGATGGAAAAACTTGTGCTCGAGCATTGTGTGCAGGTAATCGACGATGAATTCTCGACTTTTGAAAAGAGGATCGTTGCCTTTGCTCCAGTTCGAATCCAAAAGTGCGTCGATTGCTTTAGATGCTAAAATTATTTAAAATGATTGGGTTGTTACATTTTTCTCTTGAAATAAGTAATACATAACATATATTTGAATACAGAAGAGCATTTTTGTAACGAAGTGTCCTCTGTTGAGTGAGAAGTGGGCACAGTTTTAGTTTACTCAGAGGTCTTTAAAAAAATAATTTTTTTTTATTGATCTTCAAGTATTCTCCAAAAATGACTTAGAGCTTAACCAAAAGTTCTGCCGAGATTCGTTAGAGACCCTCGCAAGATTCTTGGGGTCCTCCAAAAATTTGTGGGATAATCTCCTTGAGGCTGATTTTCTCTAGATTACCTGGCAATTCGCTATATCACTGGAGAGTCATCATATGAATCACTTACATTACATTACACACTATTTTTTGAAAAAAAATTTAGGGTTCTCCAAGGGGTCGAGATCTTGAAAAGGTTTGAAAAATCTCTATCTGACGAATATTTGATAACTAGCCGCAGAATTCTCTCAAGAGCATCTGGAAATCTAAGGTGTCTTAGAAGATGCTTTAAAAAATACCTCAAAGACCTCTGAATAATCTCTAAGGCTCACAGAATTTCTGGTGAATTATACGAAGTATTCGAGTCCTTGAAAAATACCCTGAGATTTTTTAAACTGATTTTTCGGTGATTCCATTTACTAGGTTGGGGTTGGAAAACACTCCCACTTTCCGTGAAAATTTCACTTAAATGAACCCAGAAAGTTAGTAGGTACTTACTTCTGCGCGAGTCGTATGTTTCTGCAAATTGGCAGACTTGGTTTCAGAAAGGAAAATTTTTTTTTATAAAGGGACATTATATATCAAGGTAGAGAAGTCCACTATTATTGCCTGAGCACCAAGATTACATCTCGAGGCGCTTGCGCCGAGGGGTGTAAGGTGCGAAGGCAGTAATAGACTTCTCTACCGTGGTATATATACTATTTTTTTCACTACTAGCACTTAAATCCTCTAAATTAACATATTATATTGATAAGAGAGTTAACGGTTGGACAGAATTGTTTGTTTCTTAATTTAACATGTCAATCAAGTACGTGGAAGTACAAAACAGGCCGTATTTTGTTCTGTCATTGAGATTTTTCAAAGAGTAATTTCGTTCGAATTTTTTCAAAATGTGATAATTTTAGGTATGTAATTTCTCTGGAAATTGCGAATGGTGGCAATTATTCGGTTTAGAGAACTTGTCTAAACGTTCATTGAGCGAAATTTCGGGTTGTGTTTTCTAAAAGTGACAGCGTGACAGTTCTCATTATTGACTACTAGTTAATATAGTTTAAAATTATTAACCACTTTGAACAAATGCCGAGAAAGCCTACTTTACAAGTGGAAAAAAGGTTAATAATCATGTCATCAGACGCTAGTAGTGAAAAATAGTTATTTGTACAACTAGTTTTGAAAGTGACACTTTTTTGCATGAATTTGCAATTTGATTAATGAGGGCGAGTTCATCAAGCAAATTCATGGAAAAAAGACACTTTCATTGTACACGAAATTTTTTTGCATAGTGATCCATAATAACCCACAATTGAATAATTTTATTGACATTCGCGATTTACTGTCACTCAAAAATGGATGCTATTGTTCATAGACAGGACTAAACTCCATGGAAACGCATAGTAAAAATCGTGAAAAAAAGTACCACTTTCCATACGATTTTTCGTTAAAACGTCCGATAATTTCATCACTATGTAAAAAAAAATATGTAAAAGTTTTACGATAAAAAGGGTACAATGAAATCGTTAAAGAAGGGTATATGTTACAACAAAAAATAAGTACTTTTCTAGTACATTCCAAATCTGCAATAAAATATGTGGTGTGTTTGATGTATTGCTCCATTATATAAGTTTGATGCGATGAAGTAAATAATTTGACGAAATTGTAAAACTTATATTTGGTAAAAATTGTTTGCTCTACCAACTGAAAAAATTTTTACTTACCAAATATAAGTTTTACAATTTCGTCAAATTATGTACTTCAAAATATGTGGTGTTCCATTTAAAAAGAAACGTTTGATCCGCCACTGGTGACCAGAAATAACTCAAAAATATGGCGACGGTAATTGGGCACATTTTATTCGATATCTTTTATGGTAAAGGAATTATGATCAGAGCGGTCTTAAACGCAACAGCCTGAATATTTAGTTTGAAAAAGAACAACTCTGTATCATATCTCGGAAAAAAAACAAGAAGAAAAAAAAACGCAATTTAAGACAAAATCTGGGTACATATATTCGGTATTTTTAAAAACACCCTGTACAAGAGCCTAGCTACGTATACAAAATAACGCACATGTGGGGCGACTTTTTATTTTGTTAATTTTTGAAATGTGAGAACCAATTTTTTTATACAAATCGAAAATAACTATACATGGTCTTGGAACGGCCAATTTACTCCGTTACCTTTAGATCAGACTGTTTCAAATTGAGCAAGCAGGTCTAAAAAAGCGGTAGAGCACCTCGCCGTGATGCTACACATACTACAATAGGTTAAATGTGCAAAATTTAAACCAAATTGACCCAAACGTTTGGCAGTTATTGTGTTCACGGACACGAACACTGAGCACTTACCATAAAGCTTTGATTTTTGGAGCTGTAACGGGTGGAATTAAAAAAAGTTTGGTTTTGAGTTTGTACTTTGGTAAACGCACACCGCTTCATAGTGAACAGGAACGAAATTACGCTTGGTAAAAAGTGTGCCTTGCTAGATAAGGAAAGAGAACCGGGAGAAGTACGGGATTGTAAGGTCGTCTTCGGCAGACGATGTTGCGAAAAAGGTGGATATTCCGCGTATTTATGAAAATTCTAGGGGCGCCAGGCAGACCAGGCTGCACCTTAAAAGAGTCAGCACGTCCTCCCTGAGTGCGAAAATTTACTTTCCGCGTATTGGTGAAGATTTTACGATTCAATTTCAAAAACCACAACGCGTAATTAGTGGATAAAATCTCTCGAGTAGTTGCAAAGATTAACAGTTCGCTTCTAGTGAAAAATACATTAAGTGGCAAGTTCTACTAAATTTCGATTACATTGCGGAAGATATTTTTCAGTGTCGAGATCTCGTCCCTCGCACGAACGGAAAAACGCCCGTAATAGCCCAACTTATTTTTCGAAAAATGCAACAAAAAACATATAACTATTATAGTGATTTATTAAACAATTTATGGTTAAAATTTCAAAAAAATATCTCTGTAAATATGAAAGTTTGTATCGCACAGTCTGTGTATGCGCACGTATAATTTTTTACTGTTTACGATTTGTTTACCTTTATTAGAAGCATATGTAATATAGGCGCACATCTGATTTTTACCACTTTTTTACCACTTCAAATACGTTTGTGTTTAATAGAAGAATAATCATAATCAAAGCTGACATTCCATCAAGGTTTTTCTTGGCTCAAGTGTCAGAGCTGCAGAACACAAAAAAAAACGAACTAAATATTGAAACCTGTCGAAGTAATTTCGGACAAAGAAAATGGTTGCAATACCGCATCCAACTTTGTTGGAAAATGCGCTACAAAATGTATCGAATTCTAATATTTTTTTCTAATTTCACGCACAGAGCACATGACGCTTTATATTACTTTCTAGATAGGATTTTCATCGGACGTAACTTAATTTTTTACAAACAGAACACCCTGTAGATTTTCTTCTAAAAAGTTAACATTAAATTCTCTGTTCCAAAATATATCACATACAGTTTTTTTATTTTAAAAAAATTGAATTTTTTGAATCAGTTCTTTTTTTAATATGATCTATGCCGTCTATCGTGTGTGATATGTTGGAAAGAGAATATAATATGCTATCTTTTTAGATTAAAATATACAAGGTGTTCTATATCAAAAAATGTGTGTTGACCGATAACTTTTATATCTGACCCCGTATGTATACTTAATTTGAAGACGGCAGATTCGTATAAAACTTTTGTACAAAACGTTTTTCTGTATCTGTTTTACCTAAGAAAATATAGTCATTCTGAAATTGACAATTTTTTTATTTTCTTCCATATCCGCTACGCGAACCGAAATTTAGAAATTTTGATTTTACGATATTAAGTTTGGCCCGAACAGAACACATGACGCCTATATTACTTTTTTGATAGGATTTTGACCGGACCTAACCTAATTTTTTAAAAACGGAACACTGTAGATTTTAATCAAATGAAAAAACATATTACATTCTTTTCAAATTCAAATTATTCAAATTCTATGATTCAAAAAAATTCAAAAATGTTAAATATTTTAAAATTTTTTTTAATCACTTGAACCTTTTTTGAATTTAAAGAAATTGAATTTTTTGAATCACTTCTTTTTCGAATGTTATCTACGGTATGTGACCCTGGTGCGGATAACTTTTTAATTATTCAATAATCACTTATAATATTACACAACAGGTTTGTATTTTAAGGCCGTATGACACTGTACTAAATTTAGTACCAGATTTATAAACATAATTTGAATCAAAATTTGATACAAAATTTTGAATAAAAAAATTTACTTCTGTCTGACACTATTACTAAATTTTGCAAGGAAAATTGTATTTGCGCCTGTGCTGTTTGGATTAGTATGTAGAGAATTGTGCCTATTTTCCAGCACTATATTCTGTGGTTCTAGCTTCACTTCTTTTAGCACGGCTTCTATTTTATGCAAAACATCTACACGTGCATGTTTATTTCTGTATAATGCGGATTTTGTTGCGTATAGGCAAGGGTGTTTTTGATATTCTTGAATTAAGAGTTGGCATTGTTCCTTAGACCACGACATTGATGCTCAAAAATACTTAACTTNCGTATAGGCAAGGGCGTTTTTGATATTCTTGAATTAAGAGTTGGCATTGTTCCTTAGACCACGACATTGATGCTCAAAAATACTTAACTTGTTTGATTATAAGGTGGCACAAACGCACGTGTATGTTATATGTTTGGTTATGTCATTACAAATAAACAGATATGATGCGTGGCAACTTTCTGCGCAGTTTTTGTATATAATTTATGCAGTTTTTAGAACACGTTCTAAATAATTTTTGCCCTCAAATTTTGTTGCAAGTTTTCTTACAAAATGCGTATGACACTACACAAAATTTTGTACAAATTTTTGTCATAAAAATTTCGTACTAAATTTAGTGTAGTGTCATGCGGCCTTTACCGAGTAAATTTGGGGTGTTTAGGTAATTAAAATCTGTTGCCTAGCAATGAAACAAGAAAAACTGTCAACTAATAAAAATGCGACACCGTTAAAAGGAAACAGATTTGAATTGTAACAACACAAATTTACTCGGTTTAAATACAAACCTCTAGTGTAATTCGGCAGGACAATTTAACGAACAAGAAATTCACCAATCCAATCAATTATTGACAAATGTCAAACTAGTCATATGAGAACGGATAATGCGATACTTGGTCAGTAAATGAATAAGTGTTAAACTGAGTTAAACTGTCAGTATAAAAAACTTTTGAATAAAACAGTCTTCTGTATGTCTTTTATCTAAAAAAATATAGTCATTCTGAAATGGAAAATTTTTTTATTTTCCTTAAGCGAAAAAAAATTTTGCTTTACCATTAAACGTTTTACTACAAAAGAACACATGACGCCTATATTACTTTTTTGACAGGATTTTGGTCGGACCCAACCTACTTTTTTACACCCTGTAGATTTTAATCTAATAAGATAACATTAAATTCTTTTCAAAAATATATCACATCAAAAATATTCAGATACAGTGATTCAAAAATGTTACTTTTAAGATTTTTTTAATCACTTGAACCTTTTTTGAATTTAAAAGAAATTAAATTTTTTAATCACTTCTTTTTTAATGTCATCTATGTATCTTTTTAGATTAAAATATATAGGGTGGTCTATTTCATTAATCGTCAAGGTTTTTTTGGCTCATGTGTCAGTGCTGTAAGCTACCGAACACTAAATACTGAAAAATGTAGGAGTAATTACAGACAGAGAAAATAGCTGCAATAGCGCACCCAACTATATTGAAAAATAAGCTAAAAATGCAAAAAATTATAAAATTATCTTGGAAAATGTTTGAAAAAAGAATCTGCAAGTTAAGTAGCCGTTTCCCATAAGAACCGCAGAATCAGCACCGCCTTTCCCAGTAAACGAGAAAGCAAGATCAACAGATTGTAATTTCATATCAATGTAAAATGACTTAAAATTCATTCCTTCTCTGTACGCTTTTCAATAAAGTCGATAGTTTGTATAATTTTTAAAAACAAGAATCGTTTCGGCGAATCTATAAGTTGCAAAAATGACCTCCTTGTTTACTGATTATAAAAAATTGGGTCACATTACGATTTCTTTTTTGCTTGATTATAGTATGCTGAAGAAGGGAAATAGGACTATGTACAGGGTGTCCCATTAATAATGGTCACAGGCATGGAACCATTAATTGCAGCCTTGGGAAAAAAATTTTGTTGACAAAAGGGGCCAAGAGAAATCGCTGGAAATTATTTTCAAGTTTCTAACTTCGCCGCTAGAGGGCGTCCGATTCATGGTTAAGTAAAAAAATGACCTCTTTTCAAAAATATACCCAACAAACATGCATAAAAAATACATGCATCGCAATCTTGTATCAATTTGATGCAGCACAAATTGCTCTAGCTCATAAAATATGAGGGGTGGGGAAAGGGGATAATTTCTTTAAGGAGATGAAGGTAACTTCGGTCATAGAGTTTACTCTATGCTCAGGTTTAGGTTAACGGATTTTCACATAATAGGTCTTGTTGGAAAGAGCTCTCTTCGTGGAATCGTTCGTATTTTCGCCATATCTCTGCTTAGAAAACAGATATCAAAATACTGTTTTCACTGATATTCTCACTTGTTCATCTTATTTGATAATATCATATAATAATTATATCGTTTCATTTGAAATTTTCAAAAAAAATATGCAAAGTTTTTGTTAACGTCACATCGCGCCCTCTACCACTAAGCACATTTACTAAAAAGACTCTATTCAAGTATTCATGTAAAATCTGATTCCATGAAGAGAGCTCTTTCCAATAAGACCTATTATGTAAAAATCTGTTAACCTAATTCGAAGTTACATTTAATTCCTTAAAGAGATGTTCCCCTTCACACACCCCTCATATTTTATGAACTAGAGCAATATGTGCTGCATGCATCAAAATGATGCAATATTGATACAAGATTGCTGTGCATGTATTTTTTATGCATGTTTGTTGGGTATATTTAAGAAAAAAAGTCATTTTTCTACTTAACCATGAATCGTACGCCCTCTAGCGACAAAGCTAGAAACTTGAAAATAATTTCCAGATTTCTTTTAGCCGTTTTTGTTGAGAAAATTTTTTTCCCGAAGCTGTGCGATTAACGGTTCCATAGATATAGCCTGTGACCATTATTAATGAGACGCCCTGTACAAACCTGATGCTATATGGGAACTTCAAAAATGCCCATTTGAATATAGGTAAATCAGTAGTTTGAAAAAATCATCTTACACAAATGTACACATTATCCACGATCTATGAAAACACAAAAAAGGCAGAAAGAATCTAATTTGGCTCAAAGGACCAACCCTTGAAGCGTTTTTTTAAATAAACATCATTGTTCGTATTTTAAGACTCCAAAATACAGTCAACCTGATTCACGCAAAATCCGCTGACAATGATTAACTTTGTACTTTTTCATACAACTCAAAGAAAACCTGACACATATTTTCATATTGGATTGGTTCACTAGCATCATCATTATAAGGTCTGCAGATCTGCAAAAGTGGCCTTGTGCGTTCTTTACATCGCATATGACAGCACCCCCACATTGTTGTGATAAAATGTCCCACACTGAAAAGAAGAACTTTGAATCCATAGACACAATACTGAAACTAAACGACAGATGTTGGAATATGGTTTGAGCACACCGATCATACAATAAGTCTAAGGTTGAGGTGCACTACGGCAAATCTACGCAGCAGTCGGGACACCTTGAACACACTCTATAAGTTCTACCTTCCTTAAACGTTTGAATATATTATAATTGAATCGCTGTCACATAGGGCTCAGCAGAGCAGTAGCACCAAAATCGAAGCTGACAGCTGTTTATTAGGAGCTAAAAATCGAACACCTCACCTGTAAAATACTGAACGTTGTGACTGAGGAACTTGGTCTTTTTAATGGGTACATTTTTTCTCATCCACTGCGCGATCGCGTACTCTTCCTTCGCCGGTTTCTCCAAAATTTGATCTCCAGGCGATGTGTACTCCTAAAACGATAAGTGTGGTTAATTGCGCAAACGCACTGTAGAGTGCACTGCAAAACAAAAACAAAATTAAAATTATTTTGAAGTGCCTGGTTTGAAAAATAACGTGTGATATACATCAAAATTCCCGTTAATAGAACACAATAATTAAAGAAGAAATGATTTTAGGTTAAAAAAATACAAAAACAATCAAGCGGAAAATCGTCGACTTCTGATCAGTAAGCTGCATGAAAAAGTGTAACTGTAAATTAATCGAGTGCATTTAATTAAATCACGAACATTAGAGGGTAGGTTATTTAAAGGCTATCGACGTCAACATTCATCTGTCAATCAATGCAAGTGCCGTTGCGACTTTTCCCTCGCCTAATTAGCCGAGAAAAAATTGGATTGTTCTTATGCGGGAATATGTGAAAGGCATTCGCGAAAATTCAATAACAAATTATTTACTTACGTCCTTTCGGCGTTTTCCCTTATTCTTCTTCTCCGCCATCTTTCTACCAACTGACGTAGTGGAAATTGCAATGCGGTATTTTTTAAAGTACAGTTACACGATTTCGGCGGAGATTACGCGAAAACCTATGCGTGGCATGTCATTACGTCAACCTATATACCGCTCTTGATAAATCGCGATTTCGGACAAGGAAATTAAGACAAGATAAGGTTCGATGTACAACATTTTAAATTTGGGTATATTTGTCGCTCTTTTTGACAGTGGCGTAGAGTGGGATTCTTACATTATTTTTTCATTGTTTTCTTTTGTTTGACGGGTTATTCATTAGCGCGTTATCTATTTCACCTAGTTTAGTTGGCATGCACAGTATAACATTGTCACTGTTAAATAACGATGACGAGAAGAATTAATTGATTTCGTTTGTAATAAACAATTTATCGTAATTTCAATTTGGTCATCAATTATACGGGGGAAATCAAAAAATTGTCAATTTCAGAATGGCCCTATATTTTCTGAAGTAATTTCTTTATACTAACTGTTGAATAATTCGCCGTGTTCAGAATAAGTATACTAGGGCAGGTAAAAGGGTTCTTGGTAACCTCACTTTTTTTAAATGGAACACCCTGTAGATTTTAATCTAAAAAGATAATAAATTAAACTTGAATGTAGCGGTATACTTATAATTGTTATGTTTTCTTTAGGTAATCGATTTCGGCCTTAGGCCATCGTCAGACCTAGCTGAAATTAAATTTTTCTATTTCGGTGTTACAATGATGATTTTGTACAACTGTTTTCGGTACAGACAGTGATTATAGTCGTTTTTTTTTTTGGTAACTCATCTCTTAAGTTGGCAGTTACTAGTTAGTACAAGTAGGTACTTCGTTGGGTACTTCCATGTTTGAACTTCAAAATGTCAGTCTTACTCATATATATAAGAGAAGATATATGGTCTTACTACTCTGCCAACCTAAAACTTAACGGCATAAAAAGTGTTCCCAACAAAAACATGTTAGTTCTAATGTTCGCTATAGTTTCTGATAATGATTTTTTTAATTAAATTAAAGCACCGAAATAGAAAAAATAGTATGAAAAACGCGTGTTACAATGCTTGATTGTAATAGTCCTATCTCGCGGACACTCGTGGCTACGCTTCGCGTCGCCACTCGTGCCACAAGATAGTCGTATTACAATAGGTCGCATTGTAACACTTGTCTTTCAATATACTATTGTGAAGTGGTGGATAATATAAAGTTAGCGGCTTACCGTCAGTATTACATGTATTTTATGACGGTAAGCCGCTAACTTTATATTATCCACCACTTCACAAATGTAATTTCAGCTAGGTCTGACGATGGCCTAAGGCCGAAATCGATTACCTAAAGAAAACATAACAATTATAAGTATACCGCTACATTCAAGTTTAATTTATTGCATCCTTATAATTCCAATGGAGCACTTCATCGATAATGCTAAAAAGATAACTTTAAATTTTCTTTTCATATAAGATTTCAAAATTCAAGATTATTCAAAAAATGTTTCAAATTTTTTTGAATCACGAACCTTTTTTGAATTTAAAGAAGTTGATTTTTTTAAATCACTTGAATCTTTAATTTAATATGCTCCCTTTTTAGAGTGAAATATTTTAAAAATTAACTTTTTACCTGACCCCGCATGCTTATTTTGAAAACGTCAGACTTTTCTACAATCATTATAAAGAAAACTTATGTATAAAACAATTTTCTGTATCTCGTATACCTAAGAAAGTATAGGGCCATTTTGAAATTGAGAATTCACCCGTATCTCGGAGGAAACATTTTAAAATTTTGATTTTATCATTTTAAGTTTGACCCAAAAAAGCACGTGACGCCTATATTACTTTTTTGATGTTCATCGGACCTAACTTAATTTTTTAGTTACATAAGCAAAATTTAAAGATTCTAAGATTCAAAAATAGTTTTAAATTATTTTAAGATTTTTTGAACTGGAACCTTTTTTCATTTTTTTTAAATAATTGAATTTTTTTATCACTTTTTTTAATATTATTTATGGTGTGTGATAAGTGTTTGAAAAGATAATTTAATATGCTATTTTTTAGATTAAAATATACAAGCTGTTCTGTTCTGTTTCAAAATATTAGTATGCACAGATAAGTTTTTTTATCTAACCCCGTATACATATTTTGAAAACGGCTGATAATTCAACAATCCGTATAAAACATTTTTCTGTATCTATCTAGCAAAAATTTTGAAATTTTGATTTTACCACACGGAACACCGTGTAGATTTTAATCTAAAAAGATAACATATATTAAATTCTCTTTTCAAAAATATATCACATACAAAAAAATCCAAAAAGGATTTCTATAAATTTCAATAAAATTTTGAAGTAATTTTTACATTTTTGGAATCACTTACTTAAACCTGAATATTTTTTAATGATTTGAATCTTTTTGAATATTATCCATGAGGGTGTGATATCTTTTAAAAGAGAACTTAATAAGTTAATATGCTAATTTTTAGATTAAGACATATAGGTACAGGACGCGCTATTTCCAAAAATTAGTTAGAACCGATAACTTTTTCCCGACCCCGTATACTTTTCTGAAAACAGCAGATTATTCAACAATCAGTATGCAAAAACGTTTGCTTTAAACCATTTATCTGTATCTGTCTTACCTGTGAAAATATAGGGTCATTCAAATGACACATTTTTTATTTTCCTCCCTATATTAACGAGCAAACACTGTGAAATTTTGATATTATCAGTTTAAATTTGACCCAAAGAAAGCATATAAAGTATATATTATTTTTTTTATAGAATTTTGATCGGACTAACCTAATTTTTAAAAAAAATGGAACATCCTGTAGGTTTTAATCTAATATGATAACATTAAATTCTCGTTTCAAAAAGATATCACATCCAGAAATGTCAGATTCCAAAATTTAAAAAATCCAAAAAATGTTGGAAATATTTTAAGAATTTTTTGTGAATCATTTGAACCTTTTTTTAATTTTTTTAAATAATTGAATATTTTTAATCACTTATATTATTATTATCTATGGTATGTGATGGGCTTAAAAATAGAATTTAATCTGTTTAGATTAAAATATACAAGGTGCTCTATTTCAAAAAAATAGTCTAGAGCCGATAACTTTTACCTGTCCCCATATACGTATCTTGAAAACGGCAGATTATTCTACAATTGCTATAAAAAACTTTTGTATTCAACATTTTGCTGTATCTGGCTTCCCTAAGAAAATATAGTCATTATGAAATTGACATTTTTTAAATTTTCCTCTGTCTCTCCTAAGTGAATATAAAATTTTGTCATTTTGATTTTACCATTTTAACTTTGAGCCAAAAAGAGTACCTACTTGACGCCTATATTACTTTCTTTATGGGATTTTGATCGGACCTAACCTAATTTTTTAACAACGGAACATCATGTAGGTTTGAATCTAATAAGATAACATATTAAATGTTTCTTTTCAAATTTTAATATTTTTAACATAACTTTTGAACATTTTTTGAATTGAAAATAATTGACTTTTGAATTACTTGTAAATATTATCTGTTGTGTTTGAAAAAAGTATTTAATATGCTATCTTTTTAGATTAAAATAGGTATATGAGGTGTTCTATTTAAAAAAAACTAGGCCAGGACCGATAACTTTTTTACATGACCCTGTATACTTTTTTGACAACGGCAGATTATTTAGCAATCATTATAAAAAGACGTTTGTATAATAACATATTTTTCTGTTCTTTTACTTAAGAAGATATAGGGTCATTTTGAAATTGACAATTTTGACTTTCCTCCGTACCTCTTAAGCGAGCAAACATTTTGATTTGACCGTTTTAAGTTTGACCCAAGAAGAACACATGACGCCTATATTACGTTTTTGATAGGATGCGCTGTTCACAACACTTGCCAGCTTCTGTCCCTTTCCTATGCGCAACGATTGTCATTTTCTAGTAATAAACTCAATCACTACCAACCTAACTAAATTTTAAAATATAAGTATACAATATAAAACAAAATTTTAATAGAGCCACCCTCACTCTGGTACCTTTTGAGTAGTCATTGTGAAATTTAACACATCTAACAATAGCAACTTTTCAGGTTGGAACAATGGTACGAGTGAGAAACGCTCAAAATATAATTCCCATACTTGGATTGAAGAGACTAGTACCATATACATCAGGTCATATGTTCTACAGTACGCGTCCCAATCAAAAATTGGAATACAAGGTGCGTTCACTTAAAATTAAACGAAATAAGTACTAAAAATCGTGTTTTGTTTAGAAATGTTACAATATTTTAAATGTCCCCGAAAACAGCGACCAAGAGACAATTCGCAGAGCGTACCTTGAGCTGGTCAAGCGCTACCATCCCGACAGCGCCACCGATGAAGCGGACGTTAAGAAGTTCCAGGAAGTATGGCTCCGTGTGACTTGTAATTTAACTGACGTCAACTCATTGTTTAGATAGATAGGGCTTTTAAAATGTTAATGGATAAAAAGGCGAAAGAGAGGTGGCAAGTTTCCGATGAACACGTAGAAGATGAGACTCCACAAGTGAGTAGTTGAAAATATGATGATCGAAATGACAAACTCAGTTTCTCAGCATGCAACTCCGCAGCATCGCCATTTCCTCGGATTTGATGGTATTGGCCATGGTACCATTTTTCAGAGAGAAAAGCAGTATGCTCAAAGTAGGGCAATGCGTGCTTCGGACAGCGTTCTGAATCATCGGATTCAGAAGGCTACGGTGGATGATAAGTCGCTGGTAGAGCCCAAACGGCAAAAGCACAATGTAAAAACAAAGTAAGCCAAAGAATTACCCCTTTCCGTATTTACGTACATATATATATCATATTTAGGAACACCTTGTATAAAAACGCCCTGCGACAAATTACAGGTGGTCGACTTAACTATACGCTGGTGGCTCGACGGCAATTCGAATAACATAAAACAAAATCTACCTATTTTGCAGGTGAATTTTAACATAAAATAAAATTCACCCTACGGTAAATTCGCAATTGTTTGACTTAACTTCGGTCACGGTTCAACGCGCATTCATACACAAAATAAGATCCACCCTGCGCGTTGACCGCTTCACGCTAATTGCTTGACAGTTCTCTCCGAACAATTCCCTCTACCTTTTTGAGTGACACCCGTTCTGGGACGCAAGCCGTTTCTACTGATTCCCGTTGATCCTCTAAATCCCACGTAACGCAGCAGCGATCTGAATTAATCACGCAATATCCCATCGAAAAAATTTAAGTTATTGAATCAAATAAAATCCGTTACCGGGCTCCTGTTACAATTGCCAACTGTAAGTATAGGGTAATGTCATAATTGCAGCCCTGTTGGGGGACCGTCATTTGATACTTCATGTCGCACCATTGCCTTTTCGGAATAAATTCTTTTTCCGGAGTGATGTAGAACTTCGCCGCAAAAAGAAAGCGATTTGGCATGAGTGGCATCAGTAGGATCTGTCGATCAATAAGCGACCTTGAGTTGATCACGTCACAGATTACACCTTGTTTGATTTCGCCTAGGATTGTTTGTAGGTCGTTTGGGTATTTCTCCTTAAGGACATTGCTCATGCTTGTCACAGAGCAATTTTGTATAGGTCAGATCCGTCGTTATTCAGCCTAGTACATAGCATGCGAATTTCTGATTTAGTTGTATTTCACTGTCGAGTTATGCTTGCCAAAGAATATCATTTGCTATAAAAGAATCAGTTTTACTGGTGGAGAGGGATGTACGCCCCAGAATGGGTGTACATTAAAAAATATGTAATTAACGTTCTTTTCTTAACAATTTAAAATTTATATTCGATATCGAGGTATTTCCTAGATTTTAGTTGTTCTGTGATAGAGAGAGTTGCTATTAGCTTAGTTCTTTGTTTTGCCGTTAAAGGCAATCCGAGTGTACCTTTTTTGTATTTTCTCTCTCGTTCTTTCGTTGATTTTCTTCTGCGTGCGCACTACTACAACCATTCCCTGTATAAAGACCAGATTCGATCGTTACTTGTAAAATACACGCCATATTTTTTCTTTGACCTTGAGTCATACCTTTCTGCACTTCATTCTATGTCTACTTTTTCTTTAATTTTCATGCTCACAACCCGTACTTGTTCCTTTTACAGAAAATTCTGTTTTCATAGTGGTTGTTTGTGAAGTTTTTTTGATTACGTCATGACTTTTACTTGTCTTATTATGTTTACCTGAAAAAGGGCTTTTGGTATTGGGTATTATTATAGTTCTTTAGAGTTTTTCCATCTGTTTCTGATGTATTGTGGCTGCTCCATCGAATACGCTTACAATCCCTCTTGCTTTTTGTTTGTGTTTTTATCTGTTACAGACAAGGCACGAAAGCGCCCTTCTGAGCTCAGACGGCCGTTACCACCAGAGTGCAAAGAAAATATGTTTAATTTCGACGGCTCCTTGATATAACGTTTGATTACGTGTTGGTTTGCTATACAATCGAATTGTAATTAATTTGTTAGAATAGCCATTTAACGATTATAGCTCCTAATTTCCCTGACTACGAGTTGATCCCTTTTTGCCAGAGATTAAGTTAAATTTAAACGTTCACATTTCAGATCTAGATATTACATTTTTTTTGTAATAAGTAGCGCATTTTTTTTCAAATTTGATGTGCGCCAAAAAAGAAATGAATTAAATTTTCACGTTGAATGTAATTTGTAGATACGGATTTGACAGACTAGTGGAGGATTTAATACAGGAAGCAATGTCCAAAGGACAGTTTGACAACCTCTCCGGCACCGGAAAACCGCTACGCGAAGCGAAAGGACAAAGCCCATACGTCGATTTCATTACGCATAAGTTAAACGAGGTAGATAAACTAACGGTAAACATTATTTCAAATTATCAAAAATGTTTAGGTACTCATCGAGAACGGATTTACGCCCGAGTGGATAACTCTACAAAAGGAGATTCGGGACGAGACGCAGTTGATTAAAAACGCTCTGTGCCTGGAACGTAAACGTTTTCCTCCGCATCCCTTGGTCGACGAACATGCATCGTTGTGGGATAGCGTGGTAGAGCACCACAAGAAAATGGCCGATGAATTAAATCGCAAGATTAAAAAATATAATTTATTGGTTCCGATGCTAAGTAGGCAAATGTTTCTTATGAATCTTCGAAAGGAAGCGCATAAAATTCTCGTCAAGGGTAAAAGTAATAAAGATGTTGAATATGTAAAAAAAATTAATGCGTCAAGTGAGCCCAAAGAGGAAAAAAACGGTTTGATACATGGGCTTTTACAATTATGGTTTAAAGGATAAATTTGTCACCAATTTAGAAATTATTGTTTTAATGTCGATAATTAACCGTAAATAATTATAGGTAGGTAGGTAAGCAAGTCCTAATAATGTTAATTTGGGCTCATTTGGTTTGCCCTTGTAACCTACATGTAACTAATTACCTGTTAATAGTTATTGTGTAATACCAATTTTTTGGAGCAGCTTGTTTTATTTTTATATTCTGTACAAATTAGTACGTATGGTTACCAATGTGGAAAGTGGTACCTAAAGTTTCCAATTGTAAAAACGAAAGACAATTACGTTGAAAAGTTGTGCTAATGTGCGGGGTGAAACATAAAAGTATGTAAAACCATCATGGATTAGGGAACACAAAAACTAATATTTTTTTAGACTATTTCATAAAGGAAAAATTTGCTGTGGTTACCACAGATACAGCTTTTTCTTTCGTGTCTTAAAATATGTGTACCAAAGCGTCTGAATGCTCCTGACAAATTTCTTTTCCATCCATTGGGAGACACTTTTTTCGTGCCCAAGTCTTCGTGTGTATTTATTTATGTATTTATTATCAGCATTTTGTTGGTCTGTACGTTTTAATTTAATTATTCCGCATGCAGACTGATTCTCTGCTACATTTGTTACTACTTCATGTCATGCGGACTGCAGCCCTTGTGTCTTAGCATATACGAGAAGGGGGGTTCTCTAATTTGATACTTGATACGTTTAACTATAGTCCGTGGAGCAAGTACTTCATTCTTCGCTGTATCTGTTGCTTTCATCTTGTGCGGACTGCAGCTCTTGTGTGTTAGCATAAGTATATGATAAACGGGAGTCCTCTAATTGATATTTCTTCTACTTATGTGTTTTGCTTGTGCGATGGTAGCATGAATACTTACTATTAGCATTCTCGTAGGTACCTACTTCTCGTGTTAAATTGATTGATATAATAATTCAAATGACTTTAACCTAGCAAAAGCAAAATTTTGAACCACAACGAATTGTCTGTAGAAATCGCCGATATATAAAACCATGTAAATTTCTACACAACAAGAGTAATCTGAAGGATGTGAAACGTGATCAAGCTAACACGAATAATTTCTTCGTAATGACACAACTTATCGTACATGAAATCGAACGTTAACGGGGCCGAAATGGGTGTCGTAACCTATTGTGTCGAAGCGAGGTATCGTAATACTTACAGTTACAAACTAGGAACAGTAATTAAAGAGAAAGGGAGAATACAGAAAGTATGTTCTGATGATCTCTAGCGGCAAAAGAAACAACTATACAGCGAGCTTACACGAGAAATACACAGATGGCGTAAAACAGGTTGTTACTTATAAAGGAATATAAATTGTTAAATATTGAAGCAGAAAGAAAAAAACGTTACAAACCGTAGATGTGTTTTGCACTTGATTACAATTATCATATTTTCCACCTGTATTTATGTCTAGTCTTTTGTTTTGTTGATTTAAGTGCACTTGACTTGACTACCTTTTTTGAGTGATCATGTTTCCCATTTGCATTTATGATGTCTGTTGTGTTTTTTATGTCTTTATTGAACTGCATTATTTGATTCGATACGTGATTTTTACCGCCCAATTTGCAATGTTTGGTTTGTGTATTTCTCTTGCATTTTATTGTCCTAGTTGTCATTTTTCTTGTAGTTTTGTCTTTTGTGTATGTTCTGTCAGGATTTTTTAGTTCAACAAAGAAGGTTTCTTCCTAGCTTATTGTGTGCGTTATATAATTTATACGTTCTTATCTTTTCTTACGCACAAAATTTTGCATTTTATTTAATTCCGTTCCCGATTATGTTTCATGTCCCAACACTAAAAGAACTGCTAGTATACACAACGTAGGATCTCCAACCTTGCCATCCAACACGAAGTTGACTGCTACCGACGAATGCGAACGTATAAAGTTTTTAAATCAAGCTGAAAGGTTGCTAACTGTAAGTACAGCGTTAAGTCATTGAGCTGTATACTACACATATCATTCCGGCCTTGGCAGTCGTGACCCGACAGAACCACCGTGGTCGCGGTGTCTGTTTGTTACACAGAAAAGACCTATATCAACTTACTCCTTGTTCCGTTTTAATGATTTACTATTGCGCGATATGATTTGCCCGTGTAACATAATTGACGTGCCACGTTCTCCTTAGAAAAAATGTTCAGTCCGATTCTGAAAAACCGACGATTACTATACAGTATGAAATAAAAGTTTTACGGTTCTTCAATGTCTTGAGCAGTTATAATTTTGGTCATAAAAGCGTGATACACCAAAATGGCATTTTTTAATGGAACACCCTGTACATTCGATATTTCAAATTCTTCTCTCAATTTTAAGCAGTGTCTCTCTTTGCGACCAACTTTTATTGTACTTCTTTGGATATTATCAACGTGAACATCCTGTATATTTTACACATTTTGATTTTGGATTTTTTCACACTAACCTCACTTTTTAATCCTTGTTTTGTTCTTGACCGACTATTTGAATTTAAAGAACGAATGGCGTGTGTACACTTTAAATTTACGTGCGAAACTAATTTATCTAGGAAAATTACAACCTAATTGACGTCAGCTGCATCGAGCGTTTTAATTATCTCAAAACATGACCCCGTAACTTAAGGTCCGTTCGAATTAAGCAACAGTTTAACAAATAAAGTGATATTACAATCGTTCATTCTTCTATTTATTGACTGACACGTAGCGGTTCTCTTTTACTTAGAATCATTAAAAAATGAGTGGAAAAGTTTTGGTGATCGGAAGCGGCGGACGCGAACATGCGATAGTTTGGAAACTTTCTCAAAGTGCCGATGTGCAAGAAATATTTGTTGCACCCGGTAGTTACGCCATTCAACAGTGCAAAAAGACCGCCTGCATTGATCTTAATGTTAATCAACACGAAGTAAGTACTATAGTCATTTTTTTTACTTTTTAGGTTAACTTTTTTGTTTTGTAACGGTTCTTCTATATCAGTGCTTGTCAACCGGTCGCCAAATACTATACAGTGTGTTTCGATTAAAAACACTTGCAAATTTTTTTAATTGGAGTTAAACGCTTTGAATGACGTGGGTTAATTAGTTTCCACTTCGTATCCACATTGAATAAAAACACTATATAGTGTTTTTATTCAATGGTATCCAATAGGGTAGCGTAGTAGCGTTAGTGTTGTGAAGTTAGCAATAGCACCTCCAATTCTTCTTGTATAGTTAGAAATAAGATTGTGCCCTGCGCTTTTTGGATATATGAGAAACAACTTTTTTGGATAAACGGCTTGGAAATTCTAATTTTACAAAAAACGAGCTATCGATATCGATTTTAAAACATAAGCAACCCTCTGCTAATTATTGTAAAGATTACATTTTAAATTCGACATCAACAGCTCCTTATAGAGGTCAGAATGTGTATTTAACAAGTGCATAGAAAAATCCTCGGAAAAATCTATTAATGGAATTCTATTGCTAACTTCATAATCAGAATTTGATCACAATTTTAATTTTTATGAATGGAAATGCTATTGCCAACTTCACGACAGTGATTCCGTTTCGTTCAATCCTGACGTAGTCATAGCAGAAAGGTGACGCCCAACACAACACAATTCAGAGCGGAAACTTCGCTTGAATGAACGTGTCGAAAGGGCATTTCCTGATTTAAAAAAATTCGCTCCAGGTGAATTCGTCTCTTAAAAAAATTCTCTGAAGGAAAATTCGACCCGAAAAAGTAGTCACTTTCAGAAAAGTAACACCCACGACCCAAGACAATTCATTGCGGAAAATTCGCTTGAATGAACTTGTCGAAAGGGCATTTTCTGATTTAAAAAATTCGCTCCAGGTGAATTCGTCTCTTAAAAAAATTCTGTGAAGGGAAATTTGACCTTGAAAAGTAGTCACTTTCAGAAAAGAAGGAACACCCACGACCCAAGACAATTCATTGCGGAAAATTCGCTTGAATGAACGTGTCGAAAGGGCATTTTCTGATTTAAAAAAATTCGCTCCAGGTGAATTCGTCTCTTAAAAAAATTCTTTGAAGGGAAATTTGACTTTGAAAAGTAATCACTTTCAGAAAAGGAACACCCACGACCCAAGACAATTCATTGCGGAAAATTCGCTTGAATGAACTTGTCGAAAGGGCATTTTCTGATTTAAAAAAATTCGCTCCAGGTGAATTCGTCTCTTAAAAAAATTCTTTGAAGGGAAATTTGACTTTGAAAAGTAATCACTTTCAGAAAAGGAACACCCACGACCCAAGACAATTCATTGCGGAAAATTCGCTTGAATGAACGTGTCGAAAGGGCATTTCCTGATTTAAAAAAATTCGCTCCAGGTGAATTCATTTCTTAAAAAAATTCTCTGAAGGAAATTTGACCTTGAAAAGTAATCACTTTCAGAAAAGGAACACCCATGACCCAAGACAATTCATTGCGGAAAATTCGCTTGAATGAACTTGTCGAAAGGGCATTTACTGATTTAAAAAATTCGCTCCAGGTGAATTCGTCTCTTGAAAAAATTCTCTGAAGGAAAATTCGACCCTAAAAAGTAGTCACATTCCGAAAAGTGACGCCCATGACCCAAGACAATTCCTTGCGGAAAATTCGCTTGCATGAACTTTGATAAAAAAAACTCCCTCCGAGTAAATTTGTCTCCAAAAATTCGACTGACCCCAAAGTACGCGTACCTGAGCTCTGGTGCTACCCGAGGTGCTACCTATAGTGGAAATTATTACAGCAGCTGATGTACCGGCCTCGATTTGTGTCGTGGCTTGTTCCAGGTACCTATAGTCTTCTCTCCTTGTCGCAACGTTGCGGCATCCTTCTCTACGACTCTAGTTATAGGCTCGTTTCGATGCTCGTTTTCCTCCGACATCCTTGCACTCGTAAGTGGTACTGGGGTTTACAAAAAGATTCCCCCGTTTATAACGTTTTGAGGAACTGACTGTTGCGAATTGTTGAAGTAATCACTTAGCTACAGTGAGGATATGAATTTTTAACATTTTAGGAAATTGCCCAATGGTGTCAGACCACCGGTGTGAACCTAGTGGTCGTTGGGCCCGAAGATCCCCTAGCCAAGGGCATAGCCGACGTACTCACTTCACGTGGAATTCCAACATTCGGTCCTCACAAAAACGCGGCTCAGATCGAATCCGACAAGGCGTGGGCGAAAGACTTTATGGACCGTCACGGAATACCGACGGCACGATGGAAGTCATTCGCCGACGCCGCCGAAGCCAAGTCTTTCGTTAATAAGTTTGTATTGTGGTTACCGAGTTGCGCGATAATGACGCGATCGTTTCAGTGCGGATTTTCCCGCGTTGGTCGTAAAAGCCAGCGGATTGGCAGCCGGTAAGGGAGTTATCGTCGCGTCTAGTAAAAAGGAAGCGTGCGAGGCGGTTGATATGATTTTGACCGATAAGAAATTCGGGGCGGCTGGAGAAAGCGTGGTGATTGAGGAGTTGTTGGTCGGTGAAGAGATTTCGGTAGGTTGCGGCTTTTGTTGACTCACCGCGATTAGTTTGCTTAGGTTTTAGCGTTTTGTGATGGCACGACAGTGAGTGCGATGTTGCCTTCCCAAGATCATAAGCGCATATTTGATGGGGATAAAGGTGGTAATACAGGTGGAATGGGTGCCTACTGCCCTTGTCCCTTTTTGAACGACGACCAACTTGCGTATGTTAACAAACATGTTCTGCAAGCAACCATAGACGGCTTCTTAAAAGAAAATATGAGATTTGTTGGTAAGTATGTAAAAGAAGCTGATTGGTGCAATTGAACGCGTTTTATAACAGGCGTTCTGTATGCCGGTTTGATGTTAACCGAACATGGTCCCAAAGTGTTGGAATTTAACTGCAGATTCGGCGATCCTGAAACAGAAGTTATTTTACCACTTCTGCAAACTGATCTGTATTCAATTATGATGTCATGTTGTACGGGAAAATTAGACAGTATTAAACTGGAATGGAGAGAAAGTGTATTTGCGGTTGGAGTTGTAATGGCGTCGAAGGGTTATCCGGAGAGTTCAAGTAAAGGGCAAGTTATTAGAGGTAAGTACGTCACGTAATTGTTAATGCGCGCCATTACGTCCTGTTTCTTATCACCGTACGTTCTTTTTTTTAAATAAGGGTTATGGGAACTTTCATGTTATAGGAAACAGTTCTAATTCTTGTACCTACAATTTAAAGCAAAACTGAACTTTTTCTTGTGCAAAATATTGCCATCTCCGTAATTGGCTTGAATATTGCATCACTTTCAAACACATTTGGTTAAGTGGAAGAACAACAAATTGGTATTTTTAGGTAAATATTGTTGTGCAATCAAACGTCATGTGGACGTTATTTCGTAACACCAAAAATAATGACGGGACATCCTGTATATGACAAATATTTTAATTTAGTAAGGTAAATGTGGGGGAGGGGGCTATTTACGAATAAGCACAGAATTGATTTATTTCATTTGAATTTGTACTCCCGTAGTTGTTTTCCCATTTTAGAATTGTTTGTAATTGTGTAATTTATTCGATTTAGATAAGCCGCATTTAGTAAGAAACATCTGGTCAAATTTGGTGTACTTTATAAAAGGTTTATTTAAGTGTTTGCGATAAGAACCTTTGATATCGGGCAAAAGTTAATTAAAACAAGCGTAAGCGGGGACGCGTTCCTGCGAAGCTGGCGTGTGATTGGCGGGCTTATTTGAAAGTTCCGAGGAAGGAGATTATTTTATTGTGGAAGTGGTGTTCTTTTAAATATTGGAATCCAAAAACGAGGCGGGCTGGTTCGCGACGGTTAGAAACCGTGAACTTTTTTACGCTATTTTTTATCCGTGAAGTGTACCCGATTTGATTAGTTGAAGACGTAGTTTGTCATTATAATAATTTTATGCAGAAGCAAGTTAAATAAAGTTGTGTGAGAACTTTAAAGCGGTTTTTGCGTTTGTCAAGATGCAAAAGTAAGCTGTCAGGGCACCACCAGGTCTTGTGGTAAGGTTCTCATGTTATTAAAGTTAGAAGTTTTGTACCGTCTGAACAACCACCAGCAATTCGTCATTTTATTCATCAAATTAATGTTGTTTGTATTCATGTAAGTGACATTTTTTTAAATATTCGTTTGTCTTTTAAGGTGTTATTTTGTCATATGTGTTTACGAACCCAAAAAATTTAGTCTTGTGTGATCTGGGCAAGCCGAGTGTGTGATTTATAAATATTATACTTCGTGAAATCGTAAAAATAAATTTTGTTTGTAATTCTACTTTTCCGGATTGTTTATGTGGTAGTGTTGCCCCTTTTATTATGTATTCCTAGATTAAGTTGGCTAAATAGTTTTTGAATCTTTGACAATCTCTAAAAATCTTTTAAATCCACCAAGAACTTTTGCAGAAGCCCAGAATTGCCCAGGAATCTCAAAAAGCCAAAATTCCAACGAAATTAGGTAGGAAGTCCGCGTATAAATGTCATGAAATTCAAAATTAAAATTTAACGGAACGAACTGGCGGACTCGAGCGCCATCAGAAGATTAAAGCCTTGCTTTTGGTCAAGGTCGGCGGTTTCGGAGGTGTGGCACAATCGGTAGCCGCAGGGAGTAAAAATCAGGAAAAGTAAAATAATCCCCCCCCCCCCCCAAATTATATAAGTTAACGGAACGGTGATAAAATCGAAAACGTACAGTGTACATTGCCAAAAAGTGATCTACGGTTAATTCGGTTAAACACGAGTAGCATTTGATCCCGTTTAAACAACGGCTTTATTTTTTTGAAAATTCGGGTCTTTCATGGAGGAATCGGCGGTTCTTCCAGCAGACACAGCGTATTCGATTGTTTAGATCCAACAATTAAAACTTCTGTAGTTCTTTATGCGACCTGCGATATGTAATTGATCTTAAAACTTAGCTCAATTAATCGCGCTTCTAATGAAATCACTCACGACTGGTTCGGATGTGATTTACTGCAAGTCATTTAATTAACCACTGTTAATTACACTTACTTAATTCGATGAGATTTCGAGCCTGATTATTCAAACCAAGTGGGTAGGGTCCGAATACATTGTATTGCTGTGTGCAATGGTGTATACCACCAACAAAACACCTGACCGGCTAACTCAAATCAAAAATTGAAACTTACAATTTTTATTATCTCTCCTCGTTTACTCCCGACATCCACTACAAAACAAAATCCCAACCTAAATTCCAATTACACAAATTTTGTTTAACACCTGTGATAACCTGAACATGAGAACTCTATCTGTATCGTACAATGGATTCAAATAAAGACACAATTAATTAATTGACAATGATTAAAAAAAATTATTTCGTAACAGATCCGCAATAAATAATCAAGAAAAACCTGAAATAAAGAGGGTCACAAGCCCGTTATATTTACCCCACACGCAAGTGGTAGACACAAATAAACAAAGAAAGTGACAATTATTTTCTCTTAAAAATCCATGTAATCTGCTCAAACAACGGTCGTGCGATATTCAGGCGCATGTAGCACAAAAACACTCGTTGACAGCACCAAAAACTTCATTTCTTTACTATTACACTGAACTAAATCACTCGAACTGGTTTGTTGACTTAAAGAACAAAATTTCTTTCTTGTGGCAATTCGGACGGAAAACACTTTAAACTTTTGTTGAATAATAATAGTATATTAAGATACAAGTGTATAATCAAGTCTTTAAAGCACGCGCAACGAGTTTAAGGGCATGCCTTTAACGTTGCAAGTGCTAAAGATTATACACGCTTATTATTTTTTTTATACCTGCAGTATAATCAATGATCATATTGACGTTATACTCGAATACATGAATCTGGGTGTTCGAAATTTCACGATTGCCATGGAAATGTCACTTGACGTTTGCTTATAATCATCATAACTTTGTAAATAAAACGATTTCCGTTGAAAAAGATAATACACCGTCCATTAAATCGCTTGTTGTAAAATCTAAACAAACTTTGGTAGGTGTAAAATCCAAATCCAGTAAAGCGAATATGAAAAGTTGTTTCCATGGACGAATAGGAAGTTACTTACGAATAGAGTCTTAAATGCATCCCTAATGCTGGCATATATGAAGGAAATGTCAAAGGTATTTAAATCTTCTATATTTTGGTGCATTCATTCAAAACTAAAGCAATGCTGCGATTAAAAAGTGGAACAGATTTGGAAGCATACCCTAAATTACGCGCGTTTGTGAAAGCTTCAACCAAAGGATAGGTACAAAAGCCAAAGAAATGTTCTGCATTTACAGAAAGCGACCTAAGAGGATTTTTTATTTCATCCAGATGACAGTTTCAAAAGTCATACTTGAAGTATCGTTACTTAGCAACTTTAAAGCACGTGTGTTTTAAAGGCCCTTTTTCGCACGCATTTGAGTGTTTAAAACGGAGATTGTGATTCAGGTATAATAAAAAATAACGTTCAAAAACGGTTTCATTAAGCACTAAAATTGCTTTTCCAAAATCAAGATGGCGTTCTTCCGGTAACGGACAAAACGCATTAAACTTCCATAACAAAATTACGCGTAAAAGAAATCGTGCCTCTTGAAAAAAATCAATTAACTTTCGTGACAGCAACGTCCTTATCACACACACTTAAATGTAGTCGGCCAGATGTTCTTTAATTTTAAACAACGTAATTTTCACATCGTACAATTTAAATAAAAAAATTGACACAAATAATAAAATTTAAACAAGAAATTATGCAATTAAAAACATTCTAAAATGGAGAAATAGGCACTAAAATAACAAATTCCGATGAAATAAACCAATTCTGTGCTTATTCCTAACGAAATCTTCCATATTTAAGTTAAATTAAAACTTTCGCACATACAGGATGGACCGTTATTATCTTCGGTATTATTTCAGCTAAATAACGTCCACCTAACCGCAACTACATATACTATGGTCAGGCGTTCAACTGCGCCTTTGATTCAGTCTTAGAGAGGAATTTTTGAAGAGATTTAATTTATAATTATTGAGAAGAGAAAAATATAAAAAGGTCATTGTGATTTAAATACTCTAAAACCCCTTTTTGACCATTGGACTAATTTGTAACCCAACAGTTTTCGAACAGCGCATGTGCGGTTTATTAAAGGTACAAACGACTTTCGTATCGAGTAGTTTCAAAACAAATAGCCATACTTAGTTTACGTACCCAGATGTGGTTTATCAGAAAAATTTGTTTATTTGCATATACAGTGTGTCCCAGATCGGGTGGGATTGCATGGGTAACTTTGTTATTATTAAGGATAGAGAATTGGTTAAATGGGCAATGTTTTGCAGTTTTAGATGCTTATTTAAAATTTCCTTTTGGAAATTCAAAATGTCGCATAGCCCGGCATAGGTTCGACGTAAATTCAAAAAAACTAAAATTGGTCATTTCCTTGAATGTCTTATGTCAACGAAAGTATAAGAGATATAAAAAAAAGTTTTATATAAAAGTTACTGTCTTTGATACGTTTAATTTAAAATTGATGTCAAAAAAAAATTCAAGATGGCTACTTTTGAGGAACATTTAACAACTTCCTAAAGTTAAATAGGCGCCATATGGGATTTTTAGATTACTTGATAGATTTTTTAATTCTCTTTTCAACGAGCCATCATAACATAAGATTGAAAATAAGATACCTGTTATATCAACGGTTTTTATATTTTAATTAAGTAGGCTATGATGAATTAAAAAAAACAAAACAAAATCTTTTCGAGGCAACAAAACAATGAAAATAATTACATCAGATGTTTAAAAAAATCAGGGACGCACTCATGAGAGGGGGGGTTTGGGCATTACAACTCCCTCCAAAATTTTATATAAGCATTAGGTCTAGAAAAATTTGATTTTTATAACATCACTTATTGACTTATTATCCATACTTACATACCTACAAATGGTGGTATAACTACAAACTATCCCCTCGAAAAAAGTCATGCCATTATCCAGTTAAAGACATTTCAAGACACTTCGCTTTATTTTACACAATGTATTACCATTGATGCATTGTCCCAGGTCACATTTTGTAGGTGGTTTATCCGCAAGAATATCGAAACTAACAGTTTTACCAGTCCGAGTATATGGACAGATGAATCTTATTTTTCTAACTGCGAAGTGTTCAAATCGACATTATGAACACTACTCGTCACAGGAAAACCTACATGTTGTAGTTTCACGCCGAAATCAAGTAATATTTTTTTTAATTAATGTATTTTATGGCATAATGGGAAGTCATGTAATTGGACCGGTAATCTTCGATGGATCTTTAACTGCTCACCATTATTTACAAATTCTCCAATAAACTTCCTTAAAGGATTTTTCTCGACAACGTATGTTTCGAAGGAAGGGTTAGTTTATGCTAGCTACCAACAAACTGGCTGCTCAGGTCACAATTCACGAATTATGTACAGTACATTAAATATATAAAAGTAAGTACCTACTTAATTAAAAAATAAAAGTAAAGTGGAAGTAGCTACCACTACAATAATAATAATAATTATCAATGGCAACACGTTGCCTAAACTAAACTGTCTTGAAGTGTGTTTCACTAATAATGGCCAGTATTTTAAACATCTGGTGTAATTATTTTCATTGTTTTGTTGCCTCGAATAGATTTTGTTTTGTTTTTTTTTATTCGTCACAGACTACTTGATTAAAATACAAAAACCGTTAATATAACTGGTATCTTATTTTCAATCTTATGTTATAATAGCTTGTTGAAAAGAGAATTTAAAAATCTATCAAGTAATCTAAAAATCCAATATGGCGCCCATTTAACTTTAGGAAGTTGGTAAATGTTCCTCAAAAGTGGCCACCTTGAATTTTTTTTGACATCAATTCTAAATTAAGCGTATCAAAGACAGTCACTTTTATATAAAACTTTTTTTTACATCTCTTATACTTTCGATGATATAAGACATTCAAGGAAATGACCAATTTTAGTTTTTTTGAATTTACGTCGAACCTATGCGACATTTTGAATTTCCATAAGGAAATTTTAAATACGCATCCAAAACTGCAAAACATTGCCCATTTAACCAATTCTCTATCATTAATAATAACAAAGTTACCCATGCAATCCCACCCGATTTGGGACACACTGTATACAGAAGTAATCCAAATTAATTGAAGTATGTTGCAGGTTTAGAAAACGTAAGCAGTTTGCCGGATCAGGTAGTGTTCCATTGTGGAACAGCGATAAAAGATGACAATTTAGTCACAAATGGGGGACGGGTTCTAATATCAGTGTCACTAGCATCTGATTTGCTAACAGCCGCGGCACGTGCAACCAGTTCATGCGCACTTATCAATTTTGATGGTCAACAGTACAGGCACGATATAGCACGGAAGGGAATATGCCTGTACTACGCTTTTTTAATTTTTTAAGTAGTACCTACCTGACGCTTTAATTTTAGATCCATTTTAAACAGAGGTAATTTAACTTACCAGCAAAGTGGCGTCGATATCGTTGCCGGTGACCGTTTGGTCGATTTTATCAAACCTTTGGCCAAATCGACGCAGCAGCGAGGTGTTGTTGGCGGAATTGGCGGTTTTGGCGGACTTTTCGACCCCAAAGCGGCAGGGTTTAATGATCCACTTTTGGTGTCTGGCGCGGACGGTGTCGGTACCAAACTAAAGGTGCGTTTCCGTCTGAAACTATATTGTTCTCACGTTTACCTTTTAGATTGCTCAAGAAGTTGGAAATCACGCCACTATCGGAATCGATTTAGTCGCAATGTGCGTGAACGACGTGCTCGCCCACGGCGCCCAGCCTTTATTCTTCCTCGACTATTTCGCCTGCGGAAAACTGGATCTTGAAGTAAGCAAGAAGGTGGTGGCAGGTGTTGGTGAAGGTTGCAAACTTGCCGACTGCACATTAATCGGTAACTGCATCGACAAACAGTTTCGAACACCCTCTAAGTTGCACTTACAGGTGGAGAAACCGCGGAAATGCCTGACATGTATAAGTGTGGCGAATACGATCTGGCCGGTTTTTCGGTCGGGGCGGTGGAACGAGATTGTTTGTTGCCTCGAACAAATGAAATTGCAGCGGGTGACGTTGTCATAGGATTGCCGTCTAGCGGTGTGCATAGTAACGGATTTAGCTTAGTAAGAAAAGTTGTACAGCTATCAGGCCTATCATATAATCAGCAGGCACCATTTAGTGAAACAGGAAAAACGCTTGGTAAAGTTATTTTCTTAATACAGTCGATTTATTTATTATTATCAGGCCAAATATGTAGAATTTAACAAGTATTGTTGCCCCTCGCGTTTGGCAAGAAGTTATGACATCGCTGTTTCTTTTTGTTCGCGAGTTAGACAAGAAATGATTAGTAATCATACAGTGCGTAAATTTTAACTCTGAACATACAAATCTCCTTTTCGAAGATAGCCATGAACCCCTATGTACGACGGTACGACGCTCCCTTCTCGAGATATCGCGGATTAAGTGTGCGGTAGGTTTCAACTTTCAAATAGCGGTTTATGGCGGTAGGTGTCAAATTCGAAATCGCTATATCTTTACCGTCCGATCCGATCTCGTCAAACATAATAAATAAACATTACATAATACAAAGGAAACACTTGCAAATTTTATACAATCTTTTTTATCAAACCAAACAACACAATCATTTGGCATATGTATCTGGTTTACATTAATTGATCAAAGATGTCTAACCATCTGCGGCGTGACCAGTCTTTCTCATGTCAAGAGAAATGACAACAATACTTATTAAATGGTGTACATAGAGAAGTCTGCAAAGCACATGATAACGAAACTCGTTTCAGGCGAAGAATTACTAACGCCAACAAAGATTTACGTACAAAACCTTATTGGTCTGGTTAAACAGAAGAAAATAAAAGCATTCGCCCACATTACAGGTGGAGGGTTGTTAGAAAATATCCCTCGCATATTACCTCCGACATTATCGGCGCATCTTGATGCAACATCATGGACGATTCCAAAAGTATTCGGGTGGTTAGCGGTAACAGGTCAGTATCGTTCTCCTCGCGATATACAAAACGTGCAAGTCTACGGTTTAAGGTGGAATTAACGAATTTGAAATGTTGCGCACGTTTAATTGTGGAATCGGAGGAGTAGTAGTTATTAAACCGGAAGACGAGCCGTGCGTATTGAATGGCTTGGTTTCGCTGGGCGCGGTAAAGATCGGCGCGATAAAAATGAAGAGTGCAGATGCGAAGTCGGTTACAGTCGATAACTTTATGAAATCGATGGATTTAATCATGCGGCCGTTTGTTGCCGATGCTACTTCTAAGTTATGCGTACGAAAAAAAAGAGTGGGTGTTCTTATATCTGGCAGTGGCACAAACTTGCAAGCTCTTATCGATTCGACCAGAGATCCAACCAAGCATAGCGCCGCCGAAATTGTGTTGGTGATCTCGAATAAGCCTACCGCGTATGGATTAGAAAGGGCTAAAAAAGCTGGAATACCTGCACTTGTAAGAATCAACATTCGACGAGTAATGTCAACAAGTCTAATTGTTGTTTTAGGTTATTAGTCACAAAGATTACAACTCGAGGGAGGCGTATGATACGATTTTACACGAAAAATTGGTGCAAGCCAACGTTGACATCATCTGCTTGGCGGGTTTCATGCGAATTTTGAGCGGAGAATTCACGCAGAAATGGACGGGACGAATGATTAACATCCATCCCTCACTTCTACCGTTATTTAAAGGTGCCAATGCCTGGCAACAGGCTTTAAATTCGGGCGTACGCGTTACCGGATGTTCCGTCCACTTTGTCGAGGTAAGTATTTTTTGTTCATGAAACACTGACTTCGTGCTCACAGTAACTTTATGCTCTTGACTTTAGGAGGACGTCGACGCTGGAGCAATAATTGTTCAAGAAACTGTACCTATCAAGCCGGATGATACTGAAGAAAGTCTGCTGGAAAGAATACACACAGTCGAACATAAAGCATACCCTCTTGCATTGGAACTGGTAGCGTCAGGGCGAGCGAAGCTGAATGAAGATAAGAAAGTAGTCTTGTGTTAATTATTAAGAGAGAACAAGAAATAAAGAGCAGTTTTCATACATCTTGCCATTGCATTATTTGCATGCAAAAGCTTATTCATTAATGTAAGTGCTGAACCTAATATAAACTTTTCGCGATCTAAAATTTCGGCATCGTTTCACTTTCACCGTTCAACCACAAATTAATGTTAGGCAATGTAAAATTGACGGCCTTAACTAACATGGTGTGGCTGTGAAGGTTCAGCTAAGAATTCCACTATCTCCCACCCAATCTTTTCTAGTCTATTCGCTGATTGAAAGTTTTGAAACGGACCCACCGCAAAACAAGCGTTCACTAGGTTATTGTAAGTATAGCGGAGATTACCCCTCTCATGCACCATCGCGACGGTTTCTAGAGCCGGCAACACTGTATAACGTTTCGACTTTTATCTGCTGGAACACTTGTTTCTTATCTTAACGCGCTTTTTCTCGCATATTAGTTCATTATGAGGCGGTACACGTATCAAACTTCTTCTATACCAGCAAATTCGTAATTTAACGAGAAATCTTTAAAGCCTTTCTCCAGAAAACGGAATTCACTATTAAATCTTGGTGCCGTTATCATTTTTACTTTCCACATTTGCCTTCTTGTTTCAGAGGTATTAAAGTCGCTAATCAATCTAAATAATGATTTTAACCATCAAAGGAAAATTAACCGAAAAGCCAGGGAAAAAAACGAACCAGCAAGTAAAAAAAACCTGGCATAACAAACACAAATACAAGAAATAAATCAACTGCAGCAACAAAATGCCCAAGAATAAATACACAAATAAAACATCTCAGATTGTACGAACCACTCATACACAGAAGCATCACATTAGAGCCCTCCCCTCCCCTGTTCGCATTGCTAGACACACACAAGTTCTGCAGCCTACAGGATTCGAAAAAAGAATCATGTAGGTGTACAGCCACAAGTCGGACTGAATATGCTGTTCCTTTTTCCACTGTGTATTGTACTTAACCTCCAGGTTCTACACTAACTTCACACTACAAGAACACGGAAATAAATCAACTCGGCAACGTTTAAAAATGGCCACCCTCCAAAACTAAACAAGATCCCGCTTAAATTTGAAAAGTGGCACGTGATCAAACATCTAAGGCAGGGCCCCCTTACGTTAGTTGTAAACAACGCTATGACCTGAAGCACAGTAGGGAAGAAACGTTAAATAAAACACTGAAATTGTGAAAAGTTTGTTTAATAATGAGCTCGGAAATATAAATCGAAATAAATTACATTGCAAAAATAAACTTTGAAAATGGTAGTTCACCAAATAAAAATAGAAATAGGCTGGGAAAAAAGAACTTAGGTACCAATTTTAAAAAAAAAACCAGTTGCCAAATTAATATCAAATTGTGTTGTAAAATTAATTGTTTGTAATGATGTGAATGCGTAACATAAAATTATATCATCACAAAAAGTAGCAGGTAAACTTCAAGAGGTAACATATATAGGTTAAAATCAAGTTTTGGGAATTATGGGTCAAGTAAGCAGGTACCAAGATTCTAAGAAAGGGTGAAATACACAGGATGTGACTCATCTTTGGTGCAATAAAGTCCTGTTAAAAGCAAGATGGAAAGTTACATGACCTTGTAGGCAAATTTAACTAAAAACAAGATGTGTGGAAATTATTGAATCGCCACCACTCATTTATCGCACATAGATTCTAAACTGAAGAGCTTTGATTAGCGTAATCCCGCTCCTTCAAGATAGGTAACCCGCCCCTGGTTTCGAGCCTACAGTTGAATGTCGAAGACAATCACGGAATTAGATGTCGTAACTCAATTTTGACTACAGTTTTTACCACCCCTACAAATTGTGACGAAATACAATTATATAGTAAAAGAAAGAACTCTAAATACACCCCTAAAACGCATCAAACAAAATAATCAATGAGAAAACCCGGGAACGCATGATGCCCTCTGAATACTTTCCTTCTATCACCCATCGCAATTTTTTTTGCTAACCACCGCCACAGAACATAATTGTTCTCTGTGACCACTGCTAACCTTTCCACTAGATTCGTTATGAAAATCGCCTAAACTTCGGCATCTGCGCAGAACGGTCGAAATCTTACCACGATTGGTTATATACAGAGCATGTCGTATTTTTGTTTCAAATGTAGGTGTGTTGCCTAACCATAGGGGTAGATTATCGCAATACTGACCAGGGATTATTCATCGTCTTTGCTTTAAACTAAATGTTTTACAAATAATTGTGGCATTTAAAACAAGGAAATATACAAACCTGTCTGGGTCTTAGTCTTGATTGTAATCAGGAAAGTTAGTTACCAATTCTATTTTAATCAATAGATTCAAAAAAAGACCAAAAATCTGATGGAAAAAGGTGGTGTTAGGTATAAAAAAAGAAGATCAAAAATGGGAAAGATAAACAAAAAGCAAAAAGATATAGAAAATAATCAACTTGGGGCCGTGACAGCCTGTAAAAAATTTCAAATTATTAAAGCAGACAAGCTGTCTTTCATACAGTTCTATGATTAGGATAGTTCCACCAATCCGCAACTTATAATTACTGTCCTACATGTGAATTGTGAACTACATACAACTTGAAACGTAAATATTTTTAATTTGGCTACAGACATATACATAATTAAATTGCACAATAACAAACTGGAATGTTATTTAACTCTCTTTAAATAAGCATCCCATAGCAACCTTTTATACTTTTCAGCTGCAACAGCTGGTTCCGAAGACTGTGTAATACCTCGACCAACTACAGCTATATCTGCACCCTTCTCAATAACTGCGCTGGGAGTATTATACTTTTGACCCAAGCCGTCACTCTCGACATCCAGCTGTACCCCCGGAGTCAACTGTATAAATCCAGGTTCAGACAGAAATAAGGGACTTTGGCAAACAAGCCCGGCAATCAAATCCGGATACTGAGAGGCGAGCTTTGTAGTTTTCGTCGCGTAATTCTTATCTATAATACTGCCAGAAGTGCTTATTTCGGCCAGCAAAAATATGCCATTATCAGACTGCTTGAGCGCATCCAACATTCCCGCGCCTGCCAGAGAATGAGCCGTGATCACTTTGGCCCACGATTTTATCTTGTACATTCCATTGCAGTACTGCATTTGGGCGGTCTTTCCGATATCTGAAAACTTTCTATCCTCGAATAGGAGAAAGTTATGTTTCTCCGCAATTTTTTGTAGAGTGCCAATTACATCTACGTGGAAATCATCCAGGATGTCAATGTGGGTTTTAAATAAGCAAATGTGGGGTCCAGTTTGATTCGCCAGGTTTATTAGGTCTGCTGACTTCGTTACATCGGCTGCTATGCATAGGTTTGTCTGCTTTTCGGTCATAATTTGAAATAATTCTCTTGCAATACAGTTTTTGGCGTATGGAATTCGTTCTGTAAATGGTAGGTTTAGGCGATCTAAAAGATATAAACTTAAAAATTAAGTCCCTTGGCGAGTGTGTTAAAGTACTTAAAGAAGGAATGGTAGTAGAAGACAGGTCGACCTGCGTTGTAGCCATGTAGTTCGTTACTTTATCCACAACAAGCGAGTCTATGTAATTAGCCTCTTTTAAATACTTCAGTAAGTGGGTCATATCCAATAGGGAGTGCATTGTAATCCCTTCTTTAATCAAATTACTGGTTCCACCTTGCTGACGGTCCATAAGTATAAGGGTGTGCGAACACTCAATGCCGACTTCCTTTAAATCTCGAAACGTCTCTAAAATACTGCTTCCGGAAGTCACAACATCTTCGATTATTAAACATCGATCGCCCTTCTTATAAACACCCTCTATCATCTTTCGCATACCATAACTTTTCGCTTCCTTGCGCCTCATCACCATCGGTATGTTTAACTTCGAAGAGAGTGCACTCGCCAGAGGTAAAGCTGCGTATGGCACTCCGCATATGATATCAAACTGCGGCATACGCTTTAGATACTCGACCATTATGTCCGACACCAATTCCTACACATACATCAGTGGTAAAATGCTGTTGTTACAGGAGTTTTACGCTTACAATGAGTTTGGGAAAACTGACGATAAGCCTCAAATCGATGTATATGGGCGTCGGAATGTTCATTTTCGTAATAAATTCGCCAATTTTAACTGCCCCAATTTTGTACAACTCCTCCGCAAAGGAGCGCATTTTCTCTTCGAGTTCACCGATCATGATTTGTATCTGTATCGCAATTATTTAGGAAGAATTAAAGAAGTTAACACATTAGAACCACTTGTTGATAAAAAAATGTGAACACGTGGTTTAATTAGATGTGAATTGTGAGGTTGCCAAGCTCATTAAATTGTTTTGGACTTTGGTTAGCTTTATTTCATTGTCGGGGGGAAGATTTTAGGATTGTGGGCCTTAATTAGATAAGTTAGGTGTTTTATTCATAGATTCGGTAATTAGAAATCGTGGCGTTTTTTAAGTTCCCGCCGTTTGAAAAAAGCAGAGACCATAAAAATGTCCGTACTCTGCGACCAATCCTCGATCCACAAACACAGACCTTATAACAGAATAACAGGTTCTTCTTAAAAGTAAATTAATCCTTATGTGCACTTTCCTTCCTGATGAACTACCTTTTACTTCTTTTATTTGGCATGAAGAACTTTTCTAAAGACATGATTTCTATTATATCAATTTATTAAATGTCTCTTCTTCACATATTCAATTAAATGAGGATTAAGTGAACATAATTAATTAAGCTCATATTTGTGGCACTATAATTGTTTATTAAGTATTTATTTATGTATTCACTACAAAGTTTATTATCAGTGTGCTGTTGTTCTGTATGCTTTGGAGTAAGTATACGTGTAGGTACCTCCTGCAGTCTGATTCTTCGCTGTATCTGTTGTTTGCTCATCTTTTGTGGACTACAGCTTTTGTGTGCATAAACTAGAAGGGAGTCCTCTAATACACATTCCCTTATTTAAAATATGTTTTGCTTGAGCGATAATGGACTTTATCATGAATACTTACTCACACATTTACTTTTCGAAGTCGATTCTGGAGTTTTCTCTGTAGTACATGCAGTTTACCAATTTACGAATTGTTTTATCTCAATTGATCACCAATGTGTTTAATGATTATCATGTTTTCCCGCTTGCATTTATGGCGTCTCTTGTGTTTCATTTTATGAATTTGTTTAACTGCATTTGATTCGATTACCTGATTTTTTATCGTACAATTTGAAATGTTTTATTTGTGTATTTTGCCTTGCATTTTGTTGCCTCAGTTGATTTATTTCATTATTTGTGTGGGCTATGCTGGGGTTTTTGTCCCGAAGAAGGTTTCCATGGTGTCACCTGTTGTGTGCGTAATGTCGTGTTGATTTTGTTTCCGTGTTACTACAGTGTGAGAAGTGTAGAATCTAGGGTATAGTACACTATGACTTATTTTCCATTACAACTTTTTCTCCGATATTTTATCTACCACTACCACAAGTCCTTTTTATCTCGTGGAATTTGTACCTTCAATTTCAGTTGCTCTGCTATACACTTTTTATTTAATGTAATTTATTGCACTCTTTTCCGGATGTTGTGGTTAGTTATAGTTATCGTAGGATGTCACTCCCTCGGTAGAGAGGCTTTCAGATCGCCTGTGTGACTTGACGACAGTCGTGCAGGTATGACTGGCGGGACCGCCGCAGCTTTACATACCCTCCGAAGCATGATAATCAGGTTCTGTAGTACCACTAAAAACTGGCAAGTTGTGGGATTCGAACTCACTATACTATATGGGAGGTGAGAGTCCGAGTCTTAAACTGTTACTTGACGAGCAGTTGGGATAGAGCTGTAAGTTGATAGGGTGTGTAAGCCACAGAAAGATAACTCGTTCATTACGTAGTTTTTTTTTATTTAGTTGACCAAATATTTCAGGCCTATTTTACATTTCCATCAATTCTTAAACCCTAATGGGTTGTATAAAAAAAGCTATTGACCGAAGTTCTCTTACTTTGGCCTACACACCCTACTAACTTACAGCACTACCGTCACACGAAGGCCGAAAAACTTTTTGTTTTCCTTTCTGCCACTCCTGCGTCTGTAGTGCGTTGTTAGTTCTTTCCAACGCTGCCTTAAATTTATCATTTTGGATGTTACACCCTTCAAATTCTTTGTCTGATGGCGAGTCTGATCCATTTTAGAAGTTTTGTTGCGTTTTTTTCCGGCATGTTTGTCGTTAATTTTCTTCTTTCAAACATATGTTCTTCTTCGTCTTGTAGTGTACTTAACTATCCCAGCTTCTATACTAACTTCACACTACGAAATAAAGTCAAACCGGCAACGTTTAAAAATGGCCACTCGAATGACTATTCCCTCCAAAACTAAACAAGATCCCGCTTAAATTTGAAAAGTGGCACGTGATAAGACATCTAAGCCGGGGCCCCCTTACGTTAGTTGTAGACAACGCTTTGATCTGAAGCACAGTAGGGAGGAACGTTAAAATAAAACACTCAAATTGTGAAGTTTGTTTAATAATGATCGCAATTATTAAGATTGTGAAAGCTCGGAAATTAAAGTCGACATAAATTACATTGCAAAAATAAACTTTGAAAATGGTAGTTCATCGATTAAAAATAAGAATAGACTGGGAAAAAAAGAACTTACCAATAAATAAAACCAGCCGTCAAATTAATATCAAATTGTGTTGTAAAATTAATTGTTTGTAATGATCTGAATGAGTAACATACAATCATAACATCACAAAAAATAGCATGTAGACTTCAAGAGATAACAAATAGGTTAAAAACAAGTTTTGGGAATTATGGGTCAGGTAAGCAGGTACCAAGATTCTAAGAAAGGGTGAAATACACAGGATGTGACTCATCTTTGGTGCAATCAAGTCCTTTTGTTAAAAGCAAGTTGGAAAATTACATGGCCTTGTAGGCAAATTTAACTAAAACAAGATATGTGGAAATTATTGAATCGCCACCCATTTATCGCACATAGATTCTAAAATGAAGAGCTTTGATTAGCATAGTCTCGCCCCCGCAAGATAGGTAGCGTCGCCCCTCGTTCGGTGTTTCGAGCCTACATTTGAATGTCGCAGACAATCAAGGAATTAGGTGTCGTAGCTCAATTTTGACTACAGTTTTTACCACCCCCGTGACTGCTTCATTCACGGAGAAAATGGTTAGTTACAAACAGCAAGTCAGTACATACGTCAAACGAATCTTTAATTTCGACATATTAAAATAAAATGATTAAAACTTATATGAATGCAACATCAGGGACAAGACCAAGTAATCAACATCAATAAACATAAATTAAGCAAGCATTACACCAAAAACGTAAACAATTACAAACAATAGTATAACGGTATCACACATGCGATTCTGCATTGCGGTTAAACCAAGTAAATTTCAAAAACAAAGATTCAAACACACAAAGTATAAAATGCGGCATACAAAACACAAATACGATATAAAGAAATGCAAAAATTACTACCTGCATTAAATAACCCAAATTAACCACAAACATTTATGGAGCGACGCGTTCACGATCGCCATTCAAGATAAGATGCCAAACGTAACCCTCGTTCGTGCTATCTAGGTGGCGCAGGCAGCTTTTCCTCACCTAGAAATTGCATGGTTGCCAACTCTCAAAAATGTATGTATCGTCGTAAGTTGTATATACAGGGTGGAACCTCTCAGTCTTCTTAATCAAAACTTGTGTCTTGTTTCCCCCTTTTCTGGTCTCGTTCGCTCATGTATTTTGCCCTTAGTGTCCGTCCCGGTAAATCTCTTACCCAAGGTCTCCTTGATTCTCGCGCTATTTTTGTTCATTAGACAAATGTTGAGCTCGTAAAGGTTCAAACTAGAATTGGGCTTTACGGAGCCACATTAGGTCTATTCCTGACGAATAATCGATGATCGCGTTTTTATAATAATAATAGGCTTTTATGAACTATAGGTGTAGTGTCGTCGCCCGTCGGATACATAACCACAGGAAGTGACGTCAACGTCAACGTGTACAGCGTTAAGGTGGGTTCATAGCTCTCCGTTCATCCGTTGCGTTGATCCGTCAAACGGATAGTACATTTTGTTAAGGTTCATAGCAATCCGTCCACATTGTACATTTGCAAACTTTATTTTGTACTGTACCCTCCGTGATTTTCAGTATGTGAAAATGGTACGAAAGTAAGAACACATTGCTATCTGATTATTACCGTGAAGAACGAATAGGCGAACGCTGTTAACATACCAAACATAACCTCACTCTTGTTAAAAACGGACCAACGGAAACGTAAATATTCAACTCAACCAACTTTTCCGTCGTAAACGGACGACGTACGATTTAAAAATTTGCTTTCTTCTGATTGGCTAACGGACAAACGGAAACGTATGAACGGAGAGCTATGAACTTACCTTTAGAGACGAACCGACGGAGAAGTGACCACGCGATTGACGATTGTGCTATTAATTTATTGTCCATGTTCAAGTTTTTAAACTATACTTAATTTGTAGGTGTATCACAAAATATAGGAATTATTTTGGCGTATATTTCTTCCAATATATAGGTACCACACTAGGGTCACTTGATTTATCCTCGGTCATATCTGGAACGAATCCTAGGGAGAAGTGTGGCTAGCACTACGCTCCATAGCCGCCTACTATTACCCCAGAGATAAAAAAGACTATGAGTGGACCGCATGGACGAAAAAACGCCAAAGATGACCTAGTGGGATCGGGAATTGAGTCACCGATTTTCAGCGGGTGGGTACTCCGGACCCGTATTTCGCAAAATTATGCAGAATAGAGAGCTGGGTGTCACTTCTTCTCCACTCATTTGTGTAACCTATATTTAATTACGTCGTTTTATTTATTACAACTAAATAATTAACAATAAATTTATAACAGTAATTATTATTTATCATTTACAATTTATAACATAACTCAAGTGCATCGAAGTTGGAACTAAACTGAATCAGAATTCAATGTTAGATGTATAACCCCCTTTTTCTCGAACAAACACGTCATACGTTTCGGATTACGTCACGTCCGCCTTCCTTCTTTATCTCCGATGACAAATGCTTCATGGCACCTCAATGTATATGGAAATTTCTAGAATGTTCGCAACAATAGATGTTTCGTCCAGATGTTTAATTTTTTTTGTGATGAGTGGGTAGTCTCCTATAGGACACTACGTTCTTCGTTTTGATCACAAATAAATATTTCTTGCTCAGACGTCCCAATTATTCGTTGTCACTATACCCTCCTTCTAAACTGATCCGTTCTCGAGACATCGTACTTAAAGTTATACTTTGAGTAGATATTGTTGTGTAAACAACGTTATGCAGGCGGTTTAGTTTGCGCTCGGCATCTACAATAATAATGGGCCACTCTGTACGTGGACTATCAATTTATTTTCAAGTGTTTTGTGTAGAAACGCCCGATCGCTTTGAAAATTGATACACATGTTCTTAAGAATATAATAAATGTAGATATAGTCTTTCGGCTACTTAGACTAACGGGCCAAAAAGTTCCAACCCAAAAACTGCCCAAACCTCCCAAAAAAAGTATCTTTTATAATTATTGTTACAAAGAACATATGAATGTCCGGTTTGTTGGGTTAGTAAATTTCTTTAAACCTCAAGCAACTATGCAGTTGAATTTTTGTATATAATCGATCTATTCTAGTAAAAACAAATTTTACTAAAAACAAGAAGCAATGATAATAATTATCAGCGACGTCGGAAGTATGGGTCCGACTCGCCCCCTCAGTTCTTACATAAGGGGGGCCGCGCCCCCTCTAAGAATGAGTAGATAAATCATTCAAAAGCTACTAACACATCTTCTCCTGCATGTTTGCATGCAGAAATTACAAAAAGTGTTGAAGTAGAGCATATATTGAAAGAATTTGCCAGAAAAACTGCGGAAAGGCGGAAAATTGTTGGATACTATGCTTGCTTTTCTTTACAATGCTCAATAGTGCAATAAATAGCAACAAAATTGTTGTAACTTTTGTATGTACTAGTTCTTAACTATTTTTAGCGCATTTTTGCAAATTTATTTGTAAAAAGTAGCTTTTAATCTCACTTTGGCTGGCTGGCTGGTTGGCTGGCTGGCGCGTCTTCGAGAAGTAGTCAACTTCGGGCGCCTTTTACCTTCCGTTGCGAACTCACGCGGTTTATAACGTTTCGTAAATCTCGAATCGCTGTTTCTCTTTCTCGTGTCGCCAATAGAAGCGAATTGCGGGTGGGTGAACGGGACGTCGGAAGTGGCTACCGTCAAAAGGAATGTGGTAGCCCCGACACAAATCTGATCTGCCACACGCCCACACAAAAATGCGCTGAAGTCCCTTCGATCTCACACGAGGACTTTGATAATTTTTTAAATAAGATATTTATGATCTATGGCTATGGTTTTCTCAATCGAGTCAAGTATCTCTGAGTTGCTCAGTTGCATACATATAACTAGACCTCCTCCGACACTTTCAAAACTTTTCTTTCAAAAATACATTATTATTTTGATTGATTAAAATAAACAGGTTTCAGGGTCACTTAAAAAAACCACTGCTTTGCATTAATTTGTACACAATTTTGCATAGGAGGGACCTTTCAGACTCCATGGTCGCTGATTTTTGCCCCCCCCCCCCACCCGTTATTGCCTTCCGACGTCGTTGATAATTACTATGCAGTTTTATGATTAGACGGATCAATTTTATGGCTAGTCCAGAACAACCATTGTATTGGTTATTACTTATTATGTTGAATAAGATTGAACGGGCATATAGGTAGGTACTTTCAGGAACAGGTTTCTAGATATGTGCGCCAAGCAAAGAGGAAAACATTTCAATCGATTTGTCGATACCGATGCAAATAAATGTAAATGTTCTCAACCTTCGAATAACTAGAAAGACTTGATAATTAAATATGCAAATAAACAAAATTCCATGCACTAATCCCAATCATACTTTCGTTTCGAATATGTCGCAATTAAGTTCGCATGATAAGGCCGTGCTAAATTGTTTGTTTAATCCAAATTTACCACTGGACCAGGCTTACAATGAAGACTTAAACGAAAACATAAAAGGTCAGTATGTAAGCTTTAATATTAAGCTGCAACATAAGGGCATCTTTTTAGATGAAGAACCAAATACGCCCGATGTCATTAAATCGAAAGAATTGGAGGCACACGGAATCAAATTGGCAGAAGCCTCGAAGTTTGAGGAGGCTTTAACTACGTTAAGTGAGGCTATTCGGACTTCTCCCCAAAGAGCATCTATTTACAATAACAGAGCGCAAGTGCATCAGTTCATGAGAAATTCCACCCGTTGGTATCCACCTAGCTAATTTATTCAGATTATTGAAAATGTATTTTAAGGTGCCTTTGACGACTTAACTATGGCGATCGATTTGGGGTCAAAGAATTCACAAAAACGAACCCTCTGTCAAGCTTACTGCCAAAGAGGGCTTTTGTACCGCAAAGATGAAAAAATCGAACTCGCAAAAGAAGATTTTGAGAAAGCCGCCAGCCTCGGTAGTTTGTTTGCCAAAAATCAAGTAAGCGCACCTTTCCTCCGCGATTGGTAGGCACTTAATCGATTTTCCTTTCAGTTGATTGAATTAAATCCGTATGCAGCGCTCTGTAATCAAATGCTCAGGAAAGCTTTCGAAAACTTAAAATAGAATGCGAATAAATTTATTTTAAATGACGTATCAGAATTATTATTTCCAATCACTGTGTTCAAATTGATTCTAAGGATTCCCGACTATACCCAAAGCAAACGTTTTTCCGAAAGTTCAAATTTTTCAGAGTTTAATGGTGTAGTGTACTTCAGTGTTTCTCAACCGTATGTGGTGCAGGGACCGGCGAAGGATAAGTGTGTAGGTATATTTGAGGACCAGGGGGTCCGAAAAAAGGAGAGGGGGGGTCCACCCCCGGAAAATTTTTTACAAATTGGAGCTGGGAGACACGGTTTTCGCGTTCCCAATTTGTACAAAAGTCATTTTTCGTGGGTGGAAATGCGTTTATGAATAACACCATTTACAAAGGTACCCCAAAATTACATACAAATTTGCCTACGTAAATGGTCTTATTTATAAACCGCATCTTCTACTAGCGGATAATTTGTACTTTGTGCGATCAGTCCCACGTCAACTTATATGACCGCGATGTGTGGATTTTTCGCGAACCGGCAAAGATTCTTTGCGGACCGGCGGTTGAGAAACACTGGTGTACTTAACCCCCAGGTTCTACTCTAACTTCACACTACAAGAACACGGAAATAAAGTCAACCCGGCAACGTTTAAAAATGGCACCCGAATGATACTCCCTCCAAAACTAAACAAGATCCCGCTTAAATTTGAAAAGTGCCACGTGATAAGACATCCTTAGATGCCTCATCTTTGGTGCAATGAAGTCCTTTTGTGAAAAGCAAGTTGGAAAATTACATGGCCTTGCAGGCAAATTTAACTAAAAACAAGATATGTGGAAATTACTGAATCGCCTCTCATTTATCGCACATAGATTCTAAACTGAAGAACTTTGATTAGCGTAATCCCGCTCCGGCAAGATGGGTAGCCCGCCCCTGGTTTCGGGGTTTCGAGCCTACAGTTGGATGTCGAAGAACAAGTATGAGGTGTTGTTTTTGTGAAGTTATGAACTTGGAATTATATTTGATGTCGGTGCAATTAGTCTGCTATTGCCTTAGGCCCAGTTCACACTGAAAGGACCTGTGGAGCGGGCGTGCGGCGGAGACGTGGCACATACTTATTTCCTCTCCGCGCTGCCCCATGCAAACAAACGATGTATCGTATTCTGACGCGACGTGGCATGGTCGGCCGCCTTCCCGCCACCGCCACGTCTCTTCCAAGTCGCTAGTGGCGTATGTGTAAGGACGTGTCTCTTCCAAGTCAGTACTTACGTGAGCCACGATGCGTGACGATATTTCATGTCACAATCTCGGCTTCTAAATGTGGTTTGTTTGCGTCACGTCTCCGCCACTGATCCGTTCAATTTGAACTGGGCCTTAAGCTTGTTTCACAATTGACGCAAACGTAAACGCCAACGGAAACGCAAACGGTAACGTGAACATGAACAAATTCGCAGTCTCACAATTAACGTTACGCTCCTGGAGTGTTAAGTTTTGTCACGGAATATTTTGTTTATTAAAATGTGTTCTGTGGTAGTCACAGACTATTCTATTCAATTCAACAAACGGATAATCATGCAATACTTCGTACAAAAATAGTTAAGTTTGGTCTTTAAAGGTTATGTGGCTGGATCGCAAGCGCGCGCATGTTTAAAACGCCAACGGGAACGGGAAAGATAAAAGTTGACCAACTGTCGCGTTTGTTTCACGTTTTCACGTTCCCGTTGCGTTATATGTGAATGGAAATAGTAAATATTCATGTTTTAATTAAATGCTCACGTTCGCGTTAGCGTTCACGGCGTTGGCGTCAATTGTGAGACAGGCTTTACATTTTGCTGCCATTATAATGACATAAATTCAAACGGAATGAGTGTTCTGATTGGCTTATAGTCTGTTGCTATTTGTTTGTTGTGTTTTGCATGTACGGCGTCACTATTTCTTATTCTTTATTTTTTTCATTGTGTGATGAGCTTAACAATTTTTACATCAGCATGTATATGAAGGAAATAGCGTCTCGATTTAGCTATGCTCATTTTGCTCGAGGCATGAGAAGTTCCACAAAATGGCGCATGGCAGTGTTTCGTCCCTGCAGAGGTAAATGCGGGAGTGTTAACATTACGGCATTCATCTCGAAATACAATTTTAGTCTAAGATTATCCAGGACCTTCAGATACCTTCTAGACTGGAGAAGGTCCGGATAATTAACACTGATTTTCATAAACTTTACATCTCGCTTTACAGTTTACATAATAAACTTGGAAACTTCGGAATGTTATTTTTCACAAATGGGAAAAGAGTGAAGTTGCTGTGAAATCTATTTGAGCTGGCCAAAGAGACTTATCAAATGTTGTAGTGCACAGTAAAACAAAAACACCAATAAACCACAATAATATATTAAATCCTCGAACGCGTTTAGACAGTAAAGGTGTCATCATCAGCGAACAACTGAACAATAAAATAAAGGAAAAGGAAAGGCCAACGTGTTTCATTCCTCCGGCATCCCTGACTACAGGGATACCGGAGGCGGGCTGCTCAGGGCTTCCTGACCCTCTTCAGCCAGAGAACGGGATTGTAAGGATGGGTAAAGTTAGGGATGGGAACGGAAGGAACGGAGTTAGGGTGCTGAGGGGGGGAGTACTGCTCCAGCATTCGCCTCGTAGATTTCAACATATAATGCTAGCATTATGCGAAGCTACGTATGTCTGAGGAAAACCCCCTGACAAAACCCCAGACAGAGCAGTCGGCAGCGGGATTCGAACCCACAACCTTCCGAATAGAATCGGTGAGCGCATCCACTGCGCCACGTGCCTCGGTGAACAATAAATATGACCCTATTTATACTTAAGTACCAGTTAAAGATTACGAGCTCTGATTGGCCTAAAGCACCTCCTTCATCATTGTTCTCATTGCCCATTGGCCTACCTGGCATATTATCCAGTCCCCGTTATTCCATAGCCTAAGGGTGCGTTTATGTTGAAGCCGCGATAAGTGATAAGAGCGTCGATACTAGCGAAGCATAGAAAGGTGTAAATGTACTTAGCATAGATCTGTTTATATTGGAGCAGCGCGTTAATCATTCTTGAGTCGCCAACCAACGATAATAGCGTCGATAATCTCTGCACGCATTTTCTTCGCTCTTGTCGAGTATGGATGTAGAACTTTTAATCAGTGAAATTTTTGTCAGGCCTCCATTATCGGACCAAAAAGACAAAAACCACCATAAAAGGTTCATTCTGGACAAATAGTGAAAGGAGTTGGCACTAAATTGAAAAAAAGAAATAGAAGGTTTTCGCCTTATAGTTAATAACTTTAGTGCATTTTCAGTGAATTGATCAGTAATTCCCAAAAAGTAGCACAAGCAGCCAAGAGGAGGAGGAGACAAAAAGAAAGGCAGGGAGAGGACAACAATAAGAAAAGGAGAAACAGACAGGAAGGAAACGAGACCAAAGGAGGGAGGCATCGGAAGCTAATGGGACGCCCGAGTGAGGGGCCATCACCAGGAAGCCGAGTTCCCCTCTAATACAGATATTCCATTGGCGAGACTGTGGTCATACCCTTTCGGGTCGGACAACACCCAGCCCCCCCCCCCAACCTCCCCATTCCACAAATTCCACCACAATGTTTGGCATACGTCGCGACCCAACGTAATAGCAACAAATTGCTGGAGATGCACCCCCATTAGTTCCTACCAGGGGCACATACCCACGACAGTTGACTAAATTCTGGGAGAGGCGGTTACGCCAGGCATATGCCAAAGTATCAAGGACGATGTAAAATTCGTTAATGTTTTGACTACTGAGCGATGAGTCCTGCGCTAATCGAAGCTCGAACATAAACACCGCATTAAAGCAGAGCGCGGCACTCTGCTCTTGTCGCTGCTCTCATCGACGCTCTTATCACTTATCGCGGCTCCAACATAAACGCACCCAATATCGTACCCGGCGTTGGTGCTCTAGATCGCGCAGACCTTAGAATAATACTCTGCTCTAAAGCTCAGACAGCTTTCCCCTTCTTATAAAAAAAGTCACCCAGCTCTCCAAAATGTGTAGGTACATCATTGTACGAGAGAAGCTTCAGAGGAAACAGTCCTGGCAGAAATTTAATTTGTGATAATCCACCCTTATGGTTAGGCAACACACCTTTACATCTGAAACAAAAATATGATATGCTCTGTATATAACCAATCGACTGTTTTGCGCAGATGCCGAATACTAGGGGATTTTGGTAACGAAGCTATGCTAGGGGAGAATGGAGAAGATGGCGACGAGGTCGACTGAAGGCATCACGCGTTCCCGGTTTTTTTTTATTCTTGATTATTTTGGTGGTGGTGTTTTGAAGGTGTATTTACAGGTAGTAACCATTTTATTATTTCTTCGACTAGCTATTTAATCATTTCTTGCCACAATTTGATATTATTTACATTTTGCTGATTTTGCATAAACTACGATATCTAAATCATGGCATACTCCATGCCGTTGTTTTGAGTACCGTTAGATGAATCGTGTTTGTTATACTGCACCTACAGATGATTATTTTTATTATTTTGTTTAATTAAGTATTTATTTCTGTATTCACGAGGAGTTGATTATCAGTGCGATGTTGCTCTGTTCGATTGATCCGTAACTATTCCGTGAGGGAAGTACCTAATACAGTTTGATTGTTCGCTGTATCTGTTACTTTCTGATTCGTGGCGCGCTGCAGTTCTTGTGCGTTAGCTATACGAAGGGGGGTTCTTTTATTTGATGTTTCGATGTTTGTGTGTGCGAGTGGGTCATTCTGTCTCCGTGGAGTAGGTACCTAATACAGTTCGATCTTTCGCTGTATCTGTTGCCTACTCGTCTCGTGCGGATTGCAGTTCTTAGCATCTTAGCAATGCGAGTAGGGGCCCTCTCATTAACATTTCCACTATTTAAAATATGTTCTGCTTGAGCGATAATCGATTTTCACATGAATACTTGCTATTGGCCATTGGCATTCTCACATGTACTTTTCGTGTTAAATTAAATTATGTTAACTGAAGGCTGGAGTAGAGCCACACCATTTACATGTTTCCTATGTACATGCAATTTATTATTTTACGAGTTGTGTTATCTCAATTGATCGTACAGGTATTTTGATGTGTTTTTGTACTGAATTGATTTATCATGTTTTCCACTGCATTTATGATGTCTTGTGTATTTTGTTTTTATGAACTTGTTTAATTGCATTTGATTTGATTATCTGATTTTTATCATACAATTTGAGATGTTTTATTTATGTGTATTTTCTCTTGCATTTTATTGCTGTAGGTGATTTATTTCATGTATTTGTGTGGCCTATGTCAGGGTTTTAGTCCCGTAGAAGGTTTCCCTGACATGGTCTTGTTGTCTGCGTTAATATATTTATTTGTTCTTGTTATTTCTTACGCACAAAAGTTCTGTCTTTTATTTAATTCCCTTCCTGATGATGTCTCACGTTCCAACACATAAGAACCGATTACACAACGTAGGAGTCCATTCGTGCCATCCATATCGAGCCGACTGCCATCCAAATTCAAAAGTGCCGCGAAACGTCCATCGTTTCCAACGGTAAGTATAGGGTAAGTCAACGTTTTCAGTGTCGGCTTGATACACCCCTAGGAACATTACAAATTGTAGGTTCTTTTCGTAGATCATCGTATCTATGATAGCTTCGCTCTGCGTTTTCTACTGAATGAAGCTGATCTTGGAACACTTTGTATCTCTTATTTCTTGTTGATCTGTTACGATTCTAGCTTGCATTGATTTTTGACTCGCTTTTTTTCAGCCTGCCCGCTTTAAATTTTTGCATTACTTAATTGCAGCAGTTATTGTTTCACTTTTCCTGACGTAGATCTGGTCACTACTGGCATAAACTTGCATGACTGTTCACTTAAACAAACCTGACACCATGTGTGTAATATAAATGTCATTACGTCATTTAATTATTAAATAAACAATAAACTTTCTCTAAAAGTCTAGAAAAGGCATATCATACTTCCACAGAAAGAATTAATGAGTTATATCCGCTTTTATTCTTTATCACCCGTAGCTAATCCTTTATCGCCTTGATGGCGTCTTGATACCGCTCTAGAAAATTCGCTACAATACATATTATTTAAAAGATTGCCCTTCTCGCAGCGAACAGTAAATTACATTACTGTTCTGTGCAGTAAATGCATGACACAATTAAAGGCTGCAATATAGGCGTTTTTTTAGTACCTGAATCCTGATGTATGAAATGTATTTTGGAGCGTCGGAACAGATTTGAAACAGTATGATTTTTTCCTTGTTGGATCAAAAATTGCAGTTGAAAACACCTACAATCGTAGATTTTGTATTAGATATGCCTATAGAACAAGAATAAAATCGCACACCAAACTTTAATTAGGTATGGTAAAATTATCATGTACCTACTAATAATCCTCCAAAAAGCTATGACAAATGGCATGGGGATTTCCCGCCTCGGTTTGAATTTCCTATTTCAACCCCTTACAACAAAAATGGCGGTAGTAGTGATTTAGGGGTAAATGTTAAAATGAGGATTGTATCATATTACTAAACACACTTGGGGTAATTAAACTTCTTACTTTATGGTTTTTTCTTATTTCTTTCATACTTATATATGATTTAATTATTTTACTTTGTTAATTTCACCCCCTAATAATTCGTTTGTTTTTTTTTTGCAAAAATCAGTATTTCGTAAGGCTTACATAATTTTAATTTCTAGCAATACTATAAAACAACTAGCATGAATTTTTCTCCATTTGGTGGTCACTTTCCTACCTCCATACCTACGATCCATCAGTTCGCTGCGAAGTTTACTCATGACAGTACACCGAGTGCATTGTGCCCCACTCAAGATACGGGCACGAACAGATACACTGCCAATGGAGTTCCTTCATTTACACAACATCATCCTCCGTCACAACAGCAACATCTTATCAACAGCACAAAATACCAAGGCGGAGGTTATCTACATCAAAATTCCGGATACGGTCACCAAGTTAATGTACGGCAAGACAAAAGACAAGGATATGATCAGCAAGAATTGGCCCAGGAGTTGTATGCCGTAATGTTACAACAAAGTCAGCAGACGATTACAAACCAACATCAAAATAAACAAAGCAGTGAGAAGGTAAGTCGGCAACTGTAGTCACTATTTCATATTATAATGGCACACCGTAGATTAAACAAGAAAGACACCAAGAAGAGAGTAGGGTTCAACAGTCGCAACAACAAAACCACCAGCCTCATCAGCCGCAAACAAGCCAGCAGCAGACGCAGACTAATCAGACCGAACAGAGTGTCAATACTTCCTCCGCAATGCCGACAACATGGCAATCATTAGCTACACCCGGTTCAACAGTTGCGGACTACTTATCGCATCTTCCAGCATCTACTTTACCTCTCAGCCTGCATCACTTTCTGAAATACTCGGCAGAAAGCATAAAAAAGGACGTTACTCAACAGCAATTAAGTGTTCAAAGTGCAGAGAACTTATTACACGTAAACGTTAGTGGTAACGCATTAGCTGCCAATGGGTTAAATACCGGAAGCTTAAATACAAACTCGTTAACGACAAATCCCAACATGCTGACAGCAAACGCACTGACAACATTGAATACACTCACCACAATCAATACGGCACAAATTCAAAACGGTACCTCCGTGAAAAAGAAGAAAAAAAAGAAACCCGAAAAAGAAAAGAAACCGAGACCCAAACCGGGGGAGATTCGTCTAACGACAGCCTTAGACGGTTCGACCTTATACTGCTGTCCCGAATGTCACATGGCCTACCCCGAAAAGGAACTGCTAGAACAGCACCTGGTCGGGCACACCTTGGAACGTCGATTCGTCTGCGACATTTGCGGCGCCGGACTGAAACGTAAAGATCACCTTACCAGACACAAACAGTCGCACAATCCCGAAAGGCCGTACGTCTGCACCGTGTGCCTGAAGGCTTTCAAACGTAAGGAGCAGCTCACCTTGCACTTCGTCATACACTCCGGCGAGAAGCGGCACATCTGTACGGAATGCGGGAAGGGGTTTTATAGGAAGGATCACTTGAGAAAACATACCAGATCGCACATAGCGAGGCGAGTTAAGGCGGAACTATCGCAGCAGAGCGGCACGTCGCAAAGTTTGCAGGTGCAGGTGGCGGCGTCAGTTTCCACTTCGGCTAGTACGGCAACGCAAGCCATTATGTCATGAAGTAAGTATTTGTGTAAAGCTGTACCTTGACTTTTTTGGTGGTAACATTTTGATCTTTGTTTTTTACTACCGCCATCTGTACTTTGTTTGGCTAAGTTTCATGAACTGGCCGTCAGACTGGTGGGGATCAGATTAGGAAACGCGCTAACACGCCTACTTTCTACAATTTTTAAAAATCGTTTGTATCTCTGAATTTTCGTTCTTGCCTTCTACGCGTCAAGTTTCAAGAGATATTTACCTCCAAAACTAGACATAAGTTCAATGGTTCCTCCGTAGATGGCGCACAAACATGGCGGGTTCTAAAGTCACTAAATATAGAAAGTACCGCAATCCATTGGGCTCGTGTGTTAGAGAGAGAACGCATGATTTTTGCCCAAAAATGGCGGAAGTTACCAGATTCTAGTAACTTTAATGTTAGGGATTGTTCCACCTGTTTGGAGATATCTGTATATATTTTTATAAAACATGACAGTACTATGAAGTTAGGTTATAAAAAATTACAGCTATTCAAATTTTATTTGTCAATTTTTTTAAGTTGGCAGCAAATTTGCCCAAAAATGGCGGATGATTGCGGTACTTTCTATATCTAGTGACTTTAGCGGGTTCTTTGTGGATTCTAAAGTCACTAGTTGGGGAGTGATCTATGCTAGTTAGCGGGTTCTTATTTGAATCAAATACCTTAATATATTTGAATTTAATACAGGACTAGAGCAGTCGCTACCTTAGACTATTTCTCTTCCCTTCTGTCAGGTCACTACTTTGAAATATACCTCTCTCATTCAGTATGTGTCTATCCCGTGGTGTATTCGTAAATAAAAATGTGCCGGAACGCTCATCTTATCTATGTACAGGGTAAGTAAAAACATCCGTGAACAGTGGAACTTTTAAAATAATTGGTATGATTATATTATAGTATACAGTGGCCTGTATGAATAAAAGTAAGCAAATGCTTATACTTGCAAAATTCAAAGTAAATACTCGTAACTGCCCCTTCATACTGGTCTGTTTAGCATGGTTTAGCAGCGTTGCACTGCGTCCTGTTCTTCTGCTTAGCAGCGCTGCTAAGTCGCCCAGTGCGAAGGAGCACTTACGAGTATTTACTTTGAATTTTGCAAGTATAAGCATTTGCTTACTTTTATTCATACGGGCCAGTGAGTTTTTTTTTAATGCGAACATACGATTTTGTAATGTCCCTATTTCGATTTTTAAAAAAACGCATCAATCTAGAGATGTGCTTGGTTCACATTCGCACCAGCAAAACCAAAGCGCGCAACTTGCGTGATTATAAACAGCAACGGTTTCTAGTCTTGATGATGAATAAGACCTGGTAAGATTTTTTTTTAAAGAAGCCGTGTGAGCACGAACTTATAAATTAAGATGGACTGCTAATGCTGAATTGACAAATGACACCTACATGGGGGCAGCCATGATGTGCACTCACTTGGCGCGAAATTCAAACCAACTAATAAATACGTAAGCATTAACCTCTCGTTTTCTAAATAAATTACTGTGACACATGTCATCTTCCAAGCCTGCAATAGTCTCAAAACTTGAGCACTAGGAAAATTCCCCTAGAAAATAACTAAAACGTGCACATCATGGCCGCGCACATGCTAGGGCCATTTCTACCTTTATGCAACTGTTTGATCAGCAGTCCATCTTAATTTATAAGTTCGTGCATGTGAGACTGTTTGGTATGAAGCTAACTTCAGTCATGACTGACAACATGCTTCTTGTTAAAGTTTTGTTAATAAATTATAATTAGTAATTGCAGTCTATTTTGTAATATACCCAGTATGAAACAGGGACCATGTTATAGCAACTTTACTCTTTAGGATAAATTTTTCTTAAACCTCACAGGGCACGCGCTGATCTCACATTTCATTGTGAACCAACCTTCAATTATTTGTAGGTTATTTGCATCTAGTATGTTACTAATTTGATCTATTCAATACATATTGCAAATAACTCTCCTAAATAAAACTGTTCTCACTTTTGTACCAATTTATAATTTGGACCTTTATATTAACGCAAAGAATACTTAGTTACTTTGTCTAAAGTAAACATGTTGTTTAAATTAAATTGGACGGCGGTATTTTAAAAATTGTGACAGCCACAGCTGTCAATTTTATCTACTACTCATTTGAACTACTCAATAGATTGATGCGTTTTTTTTAATCGAACATAGGGAAATACATTGCATACAACATCCTACGTACGAATTTTTAAAAAAAACCCACTGTATATTACCGAATGTGTTTAATAACCGTAATATCTTCCATTTTCAACTTCCTGTTTAGCCGGAAATGACCTTAACTTTTTGTTTTGAAATGCAACACCCTGTATTTATTGCTATCGGGCGCAGAATAAAAAACTACATAATGATATGTTAAGTATTTATATTCATGTAAATTGTTACAGGGCCGTTCCTAGACACTTTGGCCGCCTGCGTGGCAAAATGAAATTGCCGCCCCTTTTTCCAACTTTATAGAATAATCAAGTTAATAATTCTCTATTTTTTTGCTGTAATTTAAAAAGAATGCACCAACAATAAATAAACATTTCATTCACAAAAAGGGTAGATATTGAGTATAATATGCAAAAACTGAAAAATCACAAAACTAAAATTTCGCTTTCCTCGCTTTAACACTAACTTGAACCACTTCCTTTAAACTAATAAATTTCTATTGCTATATAATGCAAGATTTGTTAACCGTTCTTGTGTATCATTGACGATCGCAAATAATTTTTTATAATTTTCAATCTTTAAAAGGACTATTATCCTGTAGTGGCCCAATTTTGATAAAGAAAAGAAAACGAACGTACGAAGTATCTTGGGTATAATCATATACAGAGTGGCTAATAAAGATGGAACCAACGTTGGTGTGTAACCGGTTGGAGATATCGGTCGGAAAGTTTTAGGCCTTAAATAAGATGTGTTTGTGCATATTCTAGCATGAAAAGAAAATGTTTGTCCCGTAGGTATGGTTTTTTGAGACGGCCGCCATTTTGTTTATTTTTAAATGGCAACATAGGTCTTGCAACACATCGTTGGAAAACTTATTTTACCTTCATTTTGACGACCGCTTCTTCTCTTATAACCTCTAGCCGCCCTTTGCTTCGGCCGCCTGCGTGATTTTTACGCATCACCCTATAATAATAATAATGCTTACAGGAAAAAAAATTACTTCCATTCGTCACAAATTACAATGGAAATATTACACATAAAAAACTTAAAATTTAAAACTTAGAAATTCCTCCTGTAGGTAGGAACGGCCCTGAATTGTTTATATCAACAAGCGGTACAAAAAAATAAAAAGTGCAATTATCGAGGCAATTATTAAATGCATTAATATTTGTTATTATGTACAACAAATATTAATGTATTTAATAATAATAATTGTAATGTCTTCTTTTTTCATCTTCGAGTTTTCAGATTTGTTACAAGAATTTTTTATTTTGGTTTTTTTTATCACTTTTCGAATAAAATAATAGTTAGCCGTTATAGTTTTGGTTCTGCGTCAGATAACAATAAAATATACAGGGCTTCACGCGCATTTAAAAACAAAAAGTTACGTTCATTTTTGGCTAAACCGGAAGTAAAAAAAAAAGACATTACAATTATTCAATGCATTTTATTTGTTATACATCATGGTGTTAATTAATGTCATGCAGATATTTCCGGGGATAGTAGGTACTCGTCAAAATAAGAAAAGAGTGCAAATGTATGAATGGTGTAAAGGGCATCTTTTCCGTTATACAGGGTGACAAAGAAAATGTATCACCAACTATTTTGATACTTTATTGTAAATATTCCAAAAAATAATTGATGTATCAAATTTGGAACAATTATCCCAGATCATCAAGAGAGAAAACGCAAAATACGAAAAAAATATTGTAACTTTGCCACCCTGTATAACGAAAACGATGCCCGACCAATATTGTCAAAGTGTCGGCAAAATTGTAAAATCCGCAAGTAAAGAAGTGGCTTGTTGAATTTCAACAATTTGGAGCGCAAATAAGGTTGGTTCTACGCATGCGCAGACTTCACTTTTTGACACGTTTAATTTCATTGGAAAGGTATTTCAGGCAAATTTCAAAATGCCCAGCGAATCGTGGTACATCGTAATCGTGGCCGCATTTCTGAAAAAAATTTTGGAGCGCCGCAACGGCATCGAAATTTTTTTTTTACATAGCAACCTAAAATAATTGTTAAGTTATTCGAAAGACCTTATACGAATGTATAATAGGCATAAAGGATATATGACTGTCGAAAATGTTTTTTTTAATGAGTTTTTAGCGCCGCCATACCCGTGCAAATACGACTATTAACCAGAAGTAACGTTACTTAACCGTAGACAAATTAATTATTAGTAGTAGGTAAACACAAACAAAAGAAAGCAAGAAAATCACAATAACGTGGGGCCCAGCTCGAGGTATTTACGAGAGAACGTATTATAAAAAATTATCGACTATCGCGAACTAATTAGAATTATTAATTTACTTAAGGCAAAATTTCGTTGTTGTCCGAGTATAACAAAAGCTTGAAAATAGGAGCAGAACACTAATAGATAGCAGGTTACATACGTTACTATTAAAGCAAGCATTTTTGTCTAGGTATCAGTTTCAGGGGATGATTTATTTGGGTTTAACTGCACCCGCATAAGCGAGGCTAATGGGGGGTCATTTCTTTTGTGAGTTGCGACAATAGACTTTGCAACCACTCGTAATCTTCGTAATCTTAGATTTTTATGTCAATTAATTTATGTGCAGGGAGTCCCATGACTCTTAAGCCAGCCGATTATTGCGGTTAGTAGTGGGGGGAGGAAGATGTTTTGACACATCTTTTTATTAACGCCTGAGTTTTTATTTCTATATTGCTGAATTTTTGGTTGCGACATTGTGTGAGTACTAACTTTAGCTTCTTTTGAACGAAAGTCACCACCAGACTGTAGCTTGCACTAGTCGCGAGTGTGGTATATAACAACTAGCTTTTTAATACACACATTTTGTTTAGATTAAAGATGCAGCTCCATGGAATCTTCGCTGATGGAGGAGATAATATTGCCTTCAACAAGTTTCAATTCGATAATATAAACTGTTCGCAGAGAAAAGTCTGTAAGATACCTATATATTTATTATGTAATTTAAGTGTTTAGAAAACACTTTAAAATAAGTTTTCCTAATAAGTCTACTCATTATATACTCCTGTACTTAAGCTAGTTCAGTATTTGAACGCGGAAAAAAGTGGCAATAATTTTTATATTTTAATATCTACTGAAAATGTGGTAGTCGTGTTGCCGTTCATTGTTTTTTATTTTTATGTTTTTGAATTTTGTTACCATAACTAATTATTATATCTTTGTTTGTTAGTCACACACATGGTATTAGCTATATAGATACTTATTCCAGAATATTTATTTGATAGTTTGTAAAGTGTAGGTTGTGAGGTGATTGACATCGACGCATTTATCTAGTCATTAAGTGCTCAATGTTACAATCTTTTAAGCTTAAAGCTCTGTACTTTTTATTTGCTTTCTTATAGTACAAATTAGTTAAGTTTTCTTGTTTTGTCGTTTTATTTTTGTGAGTTTAGGTGTTACAATTCAAATATGAAGATCGTGATCAGATAATTCGTATTTGTTTTATTCTCTTGCCACGTATCTATTGGCATGTGAAGTATGTACATATACGTAAAGTTTAATCTGATACTGCCATGTTGGCCATTTGCGCATGGGCGAAGTGCAGCTGACTCTTGATCATGTCTCACCAATCACAGGCACCCTAGAATCGAGAATCATTTGTTAGTGCCCATGAAAATATTTATTTGAATAATCATGGTAATATGAAAAATATAAAAGAGGCTGTGGGTGTGCACATTATAAATGTTTCCTTAGATATTATACGAGACGTTATATTTTCCAAAAAAAGATTGTCTAAGTAAACTTCAAAAGTATTGATGTAAGTATAATTTTTTTCTAGTCCTTATAGTACCTTAAGTCATAATAATTCTAGTACGCAACAGTAACAAAACAATAATGTTCATAGTACAAACAAAACGCCATATTAATCGAATACCTTCAGTGATTGTATTAATCATAAGTATCTTTTAAAAGGTAGAATAGACCGAGAAAAATCATCAGAAATCTGTTAACGTAATAGAGCAAGCAGACAATCTAATTTTTATATTATCAGACTTCAAAATATAATCCGTACCTATGTACCATCTCTAAATTTCTCTTCTGATGATTTTCTTCTCTTGCTTGTAGTAAATGAGCTTCCTATGTATTTGCTTTATGTACCTATAATAAAGTATGAAACAAATATAATCTTTGACAATTACTGTGCGATGAGTCACAACGAACAATATTTTATTATGCATGATTTTTCATATGTAAATATGCAACAAAAGCTAAGAGGAACGTAACATAGCTCCTTGTGAGTGCTTAAACAGCTAAAGCACAGCTTAAATAGTAAGTAAGCTGTGGTGAAAGCTTTAGAGAAATCAGAAATAAAGCCTTATGAACCGAAGTTATGACCACACTGTATATAGGTACATACCTCTACTTATGGAGTCAACCAGCGTTGCTGAACACTTGGTCAAGCATTTCTTCGTACCGAATTACACCAGAGATATAGATGTGGTCTATCTACTATATCTCTGATTACCAACCTATGAATTGAACATGACATCAGACTCCGAGATCCCACACTGATTAAGCAACGATACCGCCCCTAGAATACAAGCTCTATAGTCAATGAAGAAGGAGATCGTACCTATGCTGGCAGAACACGTCATAGAACCATCTGAAGGTCCGTGGAGTTCTCCAATTGTCATGGTCCGAAAAAAAGATTGCAAAAGATGCGTTTTTGTATTCATTTTCGTAAACACAATGAAGTTACCATTAAAGATGCCTATCCGTTACCGCTCATAAATTGCATTTTGGACCGCCTTCGCCAAGTCTCATATCTCCAACATCGTAGCCACTAGCCCCATAGATCAAACACATTCGAAATCACCAAAAATGTCGTTGGGGCAAAGAACAACCTCAAACTCTCAAGAATCGTTTAACCGATTTTGACTTGTCCTCACTTCGACCGCTCATTCGTCTTGCAAACGAATGGCTCTAACACAAGACTTGGCGCAGCTCTCACTCAGTATAGATTGATGGAGTGATCGCTTATGCCAGCCGAATCTTAACATATGCTGAGAAAAATTATTCCGTCACCGAAAAAGAATGATTAGCTATAGTTTGGGGAATTGAGAAGATGCGACCATACCATCATTCTGTTACCTTGAGAGGTTCCACCCTGTATATACAACTTACGACGATACACTATACACATTTTATATTGTGTGTGTGTTTGAATCTTTGTTTTTGAAATTTACTTGGATTAACCGCAATTCATAATCACATATGTGATACCGTTATGCTATTTTTTGTAATTGTTTGCGTTTTTGGTGTAATGCTTGCTTAATTTATGTTTATTGATGTTGATTACTTGATCTTGTCCCTGAAGTAACATTCATATAAGTTTTGATCATTTTATTTTGATATGTGGAAATTACCTATTCGCTTGATGTATGTACTGACTTGTTGTTTGTAACTAACATTTTCTCCGTGAATGAAGCAGTCACGGGGGTGGTAAAAACTATAGTCAAAATTGAGCTATGACACCTAATTCCGTGATTGTCTTCGACGGCGGGGTTTTGTTTAGTTTTGGAGGGAATAGTCATTCGGGTGACCATTTTTAAACGTTACCGGGTTGACTTTATTTCCGTGATCTTGTAGTGTGAAGTTAGTGTAGAACCTGGGGGTTAAGTACACTACAACCTGCTTCTCCGTTCCTCCAAAGGAAACCGCAATGTCCTCTAGTGTTCCAAGATCATTTTCCCAAATCGGAATGTTTCAAAGCCGTCCACAAAACCACCGCCGCTACGCGTTTCTCAGGCGTTAGTTGAGGAAGTTGTTATATACATGCTTTGGCACTCCGAGAATTTCGGTCACCGACAATGGGGGTCAGTAATATGTCGAGGCGCGTTTTCCAAGCAGGCGCACCATTACAACCTCCGACACTGAGAAAGTAGACCACATTTATTCTCTCATATGGATGATTTGGTCCCCCGAAAAGACCACCCTTTGTCCAAGGCTCCCATTACCTACTGAAAAATTGGAACCGAAATATTCCGATTCGTATTTGCCTTTATTTTTGAGTGGGCGGGGATTCAGCCAAGGTTGCTCTACCAACCCAACCCACTATACATTTACAAATATCCATGCCTGAACCCAGATTCGAACCAGGAACCCTTAGTACCGCAGCCGAGCTTCAATTCAACTGCACCATCACCGCGGCCACTCAAACATCCGTCCTAGAGAACCAAGGTTCCAAGAGTTCACGGGAAGGATTTAAAGCTGTATCTATAAGGTAGTAAATTAAACTCCAGGACTGAAACCGATGAGGTCCTGCAGTATAAGGGAAATATCAACGTGATAAGAGATTGCGCCGCTTGACCTCACATTTCAAGGAACAAAAGGGCATTGTCGAACTGCCGAATTTAGAGATTTCATTCCGACTATTTAGATAAGTATAATTAACCGTAATTCCTTAAGTTGAGATTACATCCGTCAGGTACTCTCTTAAATAACTTGCATTTTGACACCGGTCCCATAGTTTTCTGATGTCGGGGAAAGGCGTAATTAATAAATACAGTTTTTATTTGTTTGAACCTACTGCCGCAAACCTTGGGCATTTTTGAAACATAAAGAATCTAAGATATTTTCAAATACACACCGTATGGAAATATAGAAATATTAAAAATCAGAACCTTTAGAAGAATTTTGAAAAAGATGGATTGTGTAACATTTGGTCTACTCCCATAATAAACGAATCGCTCACTTTATTTTTTGTTTAAAAATAGTTTATTGAAACAAATGAATTATGCTATAAAGGTGATAAAGTATACTTTAAATAGATGAAGCCTTAAAAAAGTATTTCGAGTTCTATTAAAGATCAAACATAATGGTACAGTGTTGTAAAATTACAATTAAAAATACATTCACCTAATAAACATGTATAATAAAACTAAATTTGACGTATATACCACTTACTTAACTAAAATAAAAAAAGCTCGCAACTTCAAATTTAAATAATAAATAATAGAATCTAAATTAATATCGAATTAGGTCTAGATGAGACAACTCTGATAAACGGGCCATATAGAAAAATCTCCTGATAAATAATATATACCCAAGGCTTAAAAGTCATCACATAATTACATTGATCCTGCCTTTTGCATTAATAATTATCCGAATCTACAGGCTAAAAACTTACAAAACGCTGTAGGTCAAGGCAGGCTGCAAAGTCTCATCTCTTGCACACCCTGTGGTAAGATGTTTCCCGTTAAATGTGAAGTATTTACATTATATACATTGACACTATTTTATATACAGATTAAGGTCCAACAGAGAATAGGTAATTCCACACTTTATACAAACATTAAAAATAAATGACTTTCAGAATTGTGATGTATAAATAATTATTTTACGTACGATTGAAATCAACAACGAAACTCTATTAGGTACTTAAAATTGATCACTACAAATTAAACCATGTGTTTTCGTAACAAATAAAAGCATTGTTAATACTTTAGTCACATATAATTAATAATTGTTAATTCTTAATAGAGAAACAGTGATGTAAAAAAATATTAGTGGGGGAGAATTGTCATACTTTCTGATACGGTTGGTAACACGACCGTGCTAACCGGATTGGGCTCCTCCTCGTTGCCGCCAGTAACTTGAATCGCGTGCTGCGGTACTTGAATTTGGACAGGTATTTGTATTTGCTGTTGTGATGGTACCTGCAACGAGTCCATTTGTACAATAATGTAAGTTGAAAACTGACTCGGGGTAGTTTATTAATGAGTCGACAGGTCTCTATCAGTATTGTTTAAAAATTATTTGAGCGCAAACACAAGCATTATACCGTGTGTCCTATTTTGGTTGAGACTGTTGTGTATCTCAGCTATTTTGAAAGATAGAGAATCGCGGTTTTTGCGATCCTGTGCCACTTTTTTGTGAAACTTTTCATACTACAAACACAATCAATCTAGCTACGTTTGTTTCCAAGATACAAGGTGAAAACAAAAAGTTTTGGAATGTCATCATATCTTATTACCCATGTAAGATAGAAATAAGGTAAAAACTGCCTATTTTTACCACCTTTTGGGAGATTTGGCCCAAAATTGGTATTTTTTAAATAAAACATCCTGTATAATCTTAACGTCAATTTTTTGTATTCTTTTTCCTGATTACATTAATGTATCATAACCTATATTTTTCTATACACTGTATTCAGGGGGGAATGGAACAGCGCGGTATCTCGGGAACGAATGCAGATTTTAAAGTATTAAAACTTTGTTATAATGTAAGCTAGGGCCATATATCTTGTGAAAAGTTTTTTAATTAAATGCGTTTCCGCCAGGTGGCGTTACCTAACAATTATTTTTTTTAGATTATTGGAATGTTAAACATATTTGTGATAACTTTACTTATACGTGCTACCAACCTATCTTGTTTACTTTTCGTGAAAATATCCTCCAATAAATAACAATTTTAAAATCTGCATTCGTTCCGGAGATATCGCTCTTTCCCCATTCCTCGCTGAACACCCTGTATACCTAATAGTAATACTATATCATATTTTTCAAATTTGTGACATGAACGTCAGCCATTTTTCTTGATTGGTATCGGCTGCCTTAGTTACCATGGATACAATAGTCAAAACAAAATCTCGACGAATCCATGGCCTACTATTTAAAAACCGTAAAAAATAAGGTTTTTATTTTTGGTTCATGAACAAATTTTTAAAAAAATTCTCTTTCGGCTCGGTCAATCAGGTCAATTTTGAAAAAAGCTTTGTAAGTTGCGTGGGAAAAGTCTATCCGCGCATTAAGCTCACCGCTGGAATGGAGACCACTATGGCAAAACAATTCGATATTTTTACACACAGAAAGAGCATACAATTGAATTCCTGTGCATCAAAGGAATGTTTATTTTGGTGTACCAACCTAACCCAAAAAAGAAGACCAATTTTCGTTCCTCATCTGGATGGAGGAAATGCGTATCAAAATTGGAGTTTACAACTTTGATTCCTTCGCAAGATGGACACTGAGAAATTTGATATCAATAAAGAAAGCACAACCGCAGTTACTGTTTTAGATTGAAACTGTTGTAAATACTTTGTCATTAACAAAATCATAACTTGTAGCCAATGGGTGCTAATATATTGATACTAGACACAATGTGAGCCTAAGTTTATGTTTCAATGAGGAAAGTAGGTTTTGATAATAAAAGCAAATATAGTAGACCGCCTGTGACTCAAAACAAAGCTAGACAACACAACGCAAGAATCAAAGCATAACTTCTGACTTTGGCTGGAGGGAGGTGAGACGGCGCAGCCATCTGCGCGGTCGTCTAGTCGTCCATAAAAGAGCTTGTAATGCCTACCTGTATGGTGACTTGAGTAGTGGCGTCCTTATTAACCAGCATTTGAGATTGCTGTTGTTGTTCCTTAGCCCGTCTGGTAATATGCGAGCGCGCGTGTTTCCTCAAATGGTCCTTCCTGTAGAATCCCTTACCGCATTCCGTACATATTTCCGTTTTATGCCCCGAATGGATGACAAAATGCAAATTCAAATGTTCTTTCCTTTTGAAACCTTTCATACAAATCGAACATACAAACGGTCGTTCAGGATTGTGACCGAGCTTGTGTCTCTCCAGGTGTTCCTTCCTCTTCAAACCGGCACCGCAAATATCACAGATGAACCTACGTTCGATCTTATGCCCGACGAGATGTTGTTCGAGTAGTTCCTTTTCGGGATAGGCCATGTGACATTCGGGGCAACAAAATAATATTGTTCCGTCCAAAGCTGTTGCGATGTGAACCTGACCTGGCTTTGGCTTTTTCGGTTTGGGTGGCTTCTTTTTGTATCTCTTCTTCTTTTTACCTTTTTCGGGGTCATCGACACTTTCCTCCGTTTCTGCACTGTTCATTACTAACGAGTCTTGTTCGTGTTGTTCTACAATCGTTTCTATCACACCATCCTCGGTGATTTGCTCTCGTTTAATCACTGAATCCGTGTTGAACCTCAAGAATTGCTGCAAACTGAGTGGCAAGGTGGCGGTGTGTATCCTTTGTAAATACTCCTGGACGGCGGTATTTTGTAAATAGGTAGCGTTTGTCGCCGACGAGCCTGCTTCACCATTCGCGTCGTCTTTTAAATTTTCATTTTTGATAATTGCAACCGGTGTGGGTACCATATCCTTATCAACATCGGCTTCATCCGTTGTCTGATGTTGGATAAGTTGTATATCTTGAGGTTGTAAGGCTGCTACTACTGTCATGCCTTCGGGTATACCATTGTGTCCATCCACCTAGAATTATTGTACATTGATTAGAATACGTTAATGAATCGTACGACACAGACACTTACAATTTGAATTCCTTCCTGATTCGGATTGTAGGCGACGGTCAAAACTGTCGCACCCTGCCCAAATGGTTGCATAGGTATTTGCGAAATTTGGTATTTCGGTGATGGAGGTTGTGTGGTTTGTGGTAAGGTGACGGCTGTCTGGATGGGATTGACTACTTGTATTTGAACGGTTTGCTGAGGATCGCCCGGTTTTGATCCGGGCATTGTGATGGGCAGAGTAATAATTTGGGTCTGTTGTCCGTTGGGATGGTTGGGAGAGGTACTTGTGGCGAACGCCGATGGGTCCAATGGACGAATGTAATGAACTCCATTTTCGCCGCCTTGCAACACTCCCACCACTTGTCCGTTTGCCGTCGCTACGCCTTGAGTCAGTTTTGTCCCTCCGAACTGGGTAGCGACCGGTAAGGCCGCCGAGAGGGGCACTCCCGCGAAAGGAGTGAAGTTCATGGTTTGGTCTGAAAAGAAAAAAATAGTTAATGTTATATAGCAGTTGAGAATCGGGAAACAAGTTTAGATCAGGTTCAGTGGAAGAGCAACTACCTTCCTTCGCCCATATAATTTGTGTTTTTGACAATGCAGCAGAGATTGATACATTTGTTAGCATACAACAACATGACTATTATTATTAAACAGGCATGGATTTTAAAGAGTGTATTATTGTGTATGTTGTTCATTTGTTTCGTTATCATCATAAAACATAAAAAGGAAAAAGTCAATATCAATGTTATATCTATTGATCTGCTGACAGCAAATATATATTATTATTATTATTATTATTAATGTTAAAATCTTTTAATTTGTCAAAATACATACAGTATGGTCCACACATTCAAGTGAATAACGATCACGCATTTTCCTTACAGCTTCCCAGGACTGCCTTTCCACGTTCTGGAAACTTCTTAATATTTCAAAACCTTCATAAAATACAAAATTAAAAGCAAAAAAAACCCAGGTCTGTATCTGCAAAACTGAAATAGTCTCAATAAAGAAGAAGACCTAAAAGCGCAATTTTCCTTTAGGAAGCCTCTCTTCAACAGTAAGTGGTTAAAGAGCGGCAAGTATAGGTGAAACAAGATTGTGCATTCTAATGACAACAGTTATTTTTATTAAAAATGAGACGCGGAGCACGAAATAAAATGAAATTTAGAACAGAAGACAATATTATTTCCACGGAAACAACAGCAGAACCTACGTTTGCCATTTTTGAACCCTCCAAACTGTTATCAAGTCTGGTTATTGATCACTCATTTACTCGAATTAGGCAAACGAAATACAATAATACACCAAAAACAAAGGAAGATATGAAAATTCAATTATTTCAACCTTCTTGAATTGCACTTCATTACAACTCGCCAAAGAGTTGGAAGTGAATTTTTATACATTTTTCTTATAGCTTTGAAAAAGCCGGAAGCATTAAACAAACAATGAAAAAAAGGTTTTCGTCTAGGCGAGTAACTTTTTCATGAATTGTACTTCCTGAAAGGTCATATAACGGACTATTTATGTGTACAAAGCAAAATCAGTTATGGCGTACATATTTCTTATAAATAAGAAAATAACGCAGACTGCGCATGCACACAAATGATGTTTAAAATATGCGATATGTTTGCCTTTACTACAAAAATCTTTGGTTAAAATTTCAAAAAAATATCTTAATAAATAAGAAAGTTGACATTGCGCAGTTTGCGTACTTCGCGTACTATGCGCCGTTGCAACGATATTTTGTGGCCGGGACAATGGTTTTTAAAATATCTCATATTCCAAAGACAATAAAAGGCGCTTAACTTCTGCATAAGAAAAATTTAATTACGCGGATACGTGAAGTTGGACGCATCAACAAAATTTCAATGCCGACCAATTTAATTTAATGTAAGTATTAAGCGCGAATTATGCGCATTTCGCACTCCAATTCAACTTTATGCAAATATTAAGGTTCGAACACCCGACCTCCGGCTATGTAGCCCACCGCTCTACCACTGAGCCACAAAACGAACCCATCTAGCGACATTTGTTTCTGAGATTCGGGATGAAAACGAAAAGTTTGACTTTTTGGGATGTTGTAATATGTTTCAACCTCGGTTTCAACCCATTTAAGAGAAGAAAAAAGGTAAAAACTGTCTATTTTAGAAATTTTTACATAGAATCCAGTGGCGTAGTCAAAAAAATGTTGGGACCACCTTTTCTGAGATTTGGCCCAAAGTTGGTATTTTTTAATTCAGCACCCTGTATATCTTATGTCCATTATTTTGCATTCTTTTTCCCGATTAGATTGCGCAACCTATATTTTTTTTTATTTTAGTTTTTAAATAGGCCATGGATTCATCGACATTTTGTGTTGTTTATTGTATCCATGGTAACTAACGCAGCCGATACCGATCAATAAAAATTGTTAATGTCATTTCAAAAATTTGAAAAATATGATTAATATACAGTGCGTCCATGATAAGGATATCTATCTCTGAAACCACAGAAGATACGACGGTGGTCAAATTAGAAAAAAGATGCGCAATTAAAGAGTTATTGTTATGCTTTCAAGACAACCGGTAAATTCCGATTAGATATGCTAGAAAAACCAAAATTTGCCGATTTGGTTTTTACTTTTATCTGATGTTATCTGAATAGAAAATAATTTTTAAAAAACACTTTTTCATTGCCACTTTTTGAGCTCTGCAAGATAGCGTTGAGAGATTTTCAATGCAATGTTGCGTTTCGATATGACCCGTAAAAAAGTAGATACTGTAGTAATTAGCATATTTTATTACGAATAAAACGATATACGGCACACAGAAAATAACAAAAGTTGGACAAATTTTTCTATTTTCCAGGAAATTTGTCCAATATGTATTCTCGCGTTGTGCGCGGGTGCACCATTCTGTTGAAACCAACAGTTTCCAAATCTTGTTTTTTTTTGTGTGCCGTATATCGTTGTATTCGTAATAAATACAGTGTGTATTTTTTTACGGGTCATAAAACAAAACAAAGTTGATGATGATTTCTCCGAAACGAAACGTTGTAGTGAAAATATCTCTCAACAGTGTCTTGTACAGCTCAAAAATGGTCAATGAGTGTTTTTTTATTGTTCCGTATGTGCTCAAATTACATCGAAAAAAAATCGGAAAATTTCGGCTTTTCTGGTATATCTTCGGAAGTAATCGAATTTAATTGCGCAACTTTTCCATCATCGTATCTTGTATGGTTTTGGAGATCCCCATGATAGACATCCTTATCTTGGGCACAGATATAATTAAGTATATAAAAAAATATAGGTTGATACAACGTAATCAGGAAAACGAATGCAAAAAATTTACGTAAATATATACACGGTGTTGCATTTAAAAAACTAGTAGTTGCTATTTAAAAAAATACGCCCCCCTTGACCACGCAGTAGTACGCCACTGACCACAAATTTAAAGTGATAGCAAACTTTTTACAAGGGATAACAAGAGAGGGATAGTAAATAAATAAATAAATAGGTAAATGTTTCTTTGAAAAAAGTTGTTCCAAACAAAATTTCGACCCTGTATAATTTAACATGTGGGAAAGATGTAAAGCGCGTAAGCCGCAAGGGGAAATATTTAAAAAATCTTGAATGGATTTTTGAAATGAGTTAATGTAATGAAGACCAATGCAATTGCATGGATACAATAATTTTGGTCGTTTTCCAAATAGAATCGGTGAATAAATACGCGACAAACCAGTATGATTCAACGTTCAATCAAAGGATTTAATGCGGCAGTGTTATGTTAAAGGATGTACTCTGGGAAGCTGGAGGAAAATGAAAGGGATCGTCAAATTACTCTGGTGTTCCGCACACCAAAAGCTGCGGCACATTGGAAAACACTTCTCGCTTTCATATTATGTTTCATGAAATAAAGTGAATTTTGATCGATATTAAATGAAATACAATAATATGCGGATTTATCTATTTATAATTATCATTTAACAACTAATAATGTAATCAAAATAGTTATGCAGTTTTAAATGTAGTATATAAACGTTTTGGTCGTTGAAGTAAATTGTTGACTTACAAAAAGGGCCGAATATTATTTAAACTTTATAATTTAAAAAAATTGCTGAAATGGCATTTTGGAATATTCTCGATCTACCGCAAGAGTTAAAATTGATAGTGCACGATTTGCAATTGTTCTAATAACAATAGAAAAGTTTCATAAATACTTACCTTTTTTCGTTTAAAAACGCCGCCAAAAAAATTTAAATTCCCAAATTGAAAAACAAAATTGACCTTGAGGGATACCACTAAAACTCAAAGGGGGGATAAATAAACTGTACACAAAAAGAGTGGTGCAAAATACTACTTAAAAGGGAACACACTCGTAGTGGTATTGGTATAGTGGTAAAATGAAAAATTGAGAAAGTGGGGTACAGTTAGAAAACGACTACGTCACCGCGGTCTCTCACCGGCGTGTATCGAACACGAACGCAATAAAAAAAGACGTAAACAGAGAAATCCACTCGTGGGGGATCTTACAAACCTACTTACCTACTTGCGACTACTTTCACCTGTTGAATGCGCCGCTCTTCGTTCGGTTCCCGTCTCTTTTCAATACCGATTGCGTTTGCGGCACTCCGCTTATTGTAATAAATAAAAAAATTATCCATCCGATGTTCTTCTCTTCGTCTTTAACCCGTTATTAGATGACGCCGGTTACGGGTATTCGCGGCGACAAAAAATAATAGAAATTAGTTCAAGGCGGTTTCTTTGAATTTCACGCATTGGCAAAATCAACTGAATCGATTTATAAATATTGCGCCGTGCCGCCACTGTCGCAACACAAAAATAAGGTGTGCAATTATCAAACAAAAGGATTGTTTGGCGCACCCTCGGAAATAGCAGAATATTTTGGAACTCCTGTGTTTTTAGAAAGAACAGGTAGGTATTTGCGCAAAGTTTCCGAGTTGTATCTGAATTAGACAACAATTATTTCGCTTGGTCTCCCCAGGGCCCAGAAGTCACAACCACTTGGATCTTTTGATGATAACGACAGATAGTAAACGGGCTGTGGGCGACTCTGTGGCTTCACTCTTATAAAAAAGTACACGGATTGCGGAAAACGCAATCTTTGTAAGGGTTGGATAGTGGATAACAGTATGCATCTTCTGATAGCATTTCTAATATAGAAAATGACTTCTATTTTCTCGTATCGTTTGCTGCATGCGCGTTTGTAACCTGTATGACACTATGCAAGTGTTTGTCCAAGAAATTGTATCAAACTGGGCACGTGATTGGTGGAGATTGTGTGTGGGACTACAAACATACCAGTTGGTAGTAGGTACTATAGCATAGGGTGCCCACTATGTATGGATAATGGAATGGTGCGTGAAATTCTGTTCAGACCAATCATCCCGGAATCTCAAAACATCAAAACGAGATCCAAAAATGTATAGTGAACTCAATCTGGGAACACACTGTATATCTCAGTAAATAATGACTGTA